AGCTCAGAGCTCAGCTCATAGAATGTGCTCAAATAAGTGTTTATCAGGTGAATAAGAGAGTAAATGAATTACTTATTTCCTTCACACATACTTGTTCCTGGAAATATTAATGTTACCTCTTGCTTTTATGTGACTGGTACACCTCACCGGCCACATTTGTTTGTAACATTTTTTCTGCTTGTACTTGATCAAAACATGATTTTTACAACTTTACGTGTTTCATGTAAAAAATTCATATAGTTTCAAATAAATCTTTACTAACTCATGGAAAGTAAAAACACAGTGATTCCTTTTAGAGGAAGTATTTCTGGAACTGAGATTATAAGTTTTATCATCATTTATATTCTTACACAAACATATTTCAGCAGTTGAGCTTACTGTTTTTTCCACAACCCTGTTAACCCAAAACGTTTAAGTTGCATTAAAAAGCAGTCCCCATTTTATGTCACCCAAGAGTCTTCTTAGACAAATGATCCTGGTCTTCTGGATTAAGATTTTTTTTTATAAAGTTTTTTTATTTATTCATTTGACAGACAGATCACAAGTAGGCAGAGAGTCAGGCAGAGAGAGAGAGGAGGAAGCAGGCTCCCCGCTGAGCGGAGAGCCCAATACGGGGCTCAATCCCAGGACCCCGGGATCATGACCAGAGCCGAAGGCACAGGCTTCAACCCACTGAGCCAACCAGGCACCCTGGGTTATGATTTTCAATTGAAACTTCATCACTGAATTTCCTTCCTTTAAGCAAAAAAGTGTTTAAAAAAAATGTCTAAAAAGAAAAAGTAAGGAGGCACCTGGGTGGCTTAGTTGGTTAATCATCCAACTCTTGATTTCAGCTCAGGTCATGATCTCAGGGTTGTGGGATCGAGCCACACATTGGGCTCTGTGATGAGTGTGGCGCCTGCGTAAGATTCTCTCTCTCTCTCTCTGTCCCTCCCTACCCCACTCAGACTCTCTCTCTCTTAAAAAAAAAAAAAAAAAAAATTAAAACAAAGATTGAGCAGCAAGTAACCAAACGAGGAAGGAGTATCACCTAATCCAGTAAACTTTAAAACAGACTCACAGGAACCATACAACTGACCTCTTTTTTGCCCCACAGAAATCATATGGCTGAGATTCTGAGAGCTCTTACACCAGTCTTACACCAGTCTGGTATTATAACACCAAATCTGGAAGATGCAAACTGAGTGGGGATCGTTGTTATTTCACTCTCTTAATTGAAGAGTAGAAGACATTGTTGCTGGGGAGCACTGGGTGAAAAGAGGGAAAAACCTCTCTTTGTCCAGAAGTCAGGGCCGCTTCTAATTTGGGCTATGCCTTGACCCAGGACACTCCAAGGAGAGCAGAGTCTGGGTGATTTATTCTAATAGACTGTATGCTCCCCCATCTTAGCTCTAGCACATCCTCAGATTTCAGAACAGTGGATAGAACATAAAATATCAGCTCTCACACTACAGCTAGGATAGGAGGGTAAAGTTTTCTTAGACATTGCAGAAAAAGAATTACGAAATCATCCACGCTTTGCAAATGTCTGGAGAGCAGTGTATAACCACAAGCATGATGAAAGAAATGACATTGTAGTTAACGCAAATATCCTATGATGAGAAAATAAAGAGGACGGAAACAGCATGTAAATGCTGACAGCTGATCATAGAGGAAAAATAAGAGAGATTGCTTCCAATTGCTTGATGCTGCACATCACCTTAATGAGAATTCAAATTAAAAAAAAACAGACAAGAAAATGATAATAATGCAATGAAATGGAAGATTATACATCCAAGGAAATGTAAATAAATTACATATAGCAGAAACTGGAATGAAAATCGAATCACTGACAGCTTTATAGACATTCCAACAAATACTGATTGAAATAATTAGAAAGCAAAGAGACACAGAAGACAGGACATCCAATATAAAGGTAATTGCTGTCACTGAAGAAAAGAACCAAACAAATAGGACAGATGGATTGAAATAGCATAAGAGGTTTCAGGAAAATTATATAGCTCTTCCACAACAAGACCGGATTTGATCAAGTTGTTGAACTTTTGGCATAAAGGACAGATTTTTGGGTGGGAAGCCTCAGGGAGTTCTGTGCCTCCTCTGGCTGGGGTCAGAGTCAATCTGCAGAGAGCCTTCACTGTGGTCTTAGATGGTCAGACACTGTGATTGGAATACCAGGCCATTGTGGGTGGTGGAGTGTGTGCCCTGTGTCATCATGGTCATCATGAGACCAACCAGCAAGGAGGAGTTTGGGAGAGAGATGGCTGCAGCTCTGGAAGACACCTGTTACTGAATTCCTGAAGTTTGTCTTTGCTTATCTGCTTGTCCACGTCTTAGAACTAGTTGTTCAGTATTCTGTTATCTTGGACTGAGCTCCCAGAAGAATTTATTAAGTGCTTAGAATTTCTTATGTTTTATTGCATCAATATTTATCTTAACTTGTGTTTGCTTCTCTGGGTTGTGAAAAGAGTCACAACCTGTTATGTAAGATCTTTTGGCAGTTAATCTGTGCCGGGTTATTGAACCTGCCAGTGCCTTAGTGTCTCTGATAAGCTCTTGAGCTAAACTGTCATTGACTAGGAGGAGCAAAATGCATTAAGATACAGATTGAGCACCCTCCGTGTCACTTGAAAGAGAGGGGGATTAAGTCATCTAGAGATTTGGGCGCCCTCTGTTTCTTTCCTCTCTTTCAGCTTTACAGAGACAGGCCTCTGGCTCGACCATTAGGTGTCTTATGTGTTTTCAGAAGCCATGCTAGTCCTCAGGAGAGCCCTTCCACAGCCAGAGGTCCATAGAAGTAATATAGTGCTACATAGTCCATTTTGTAAAGACATTAGCCTGTTTGGATTTTAGTTATTTCTACCTAAGTAAAATGTAATATTGTGACTTTAAAAGGTAGTGAGAGAGAGAGAAGAAAGGAGGGAGAGAATGGGAGGATGAGAGAGAATGGGAGTGACAGAGTTCTTCAGGCTCCCAAACAGAAAAACAGACCACATAAAAACAGGAAAAATCAGAATGGCCTTGGGCTTCTCCATCGCAGCATTCAGTATTATTTCAAGGGAGCAGCATCTGCAAAGTTCTGCTGGCAAGAAAGGATGACCCAAGATACTATACCCAGCCAAGATGTCATTCAGCTCTAAAGTGAGCAAGCAGATATTCTTAAACACCAGATAATTTAGGGAAAGGAACACATAGGAGCTCCTCTAGAAAATAACCACTTGGCAACAAAATCTGGCCAAGTAAGAATTAAAGATTCAAGGAAAAGTTGTGGTAAGAGGATGGTGAGAAGATTGCTTCACCTAAAAGAAAGGCCCAGTACTAAAGAAGTATGAAATCACAGTTATCGAGTGGGATGTGAGTACGCAAACCTGGACAGTGTAAAAATTATTTGACAAAAATTGGGAGAAGAAATGGGAGGAAATGTGAGTGCTAAAGTTTTCAACTTTCAAGGCGGGAAGTTAATGGATTCTGTCCAAAATTAACTTAATTTTGTATGTAACTTAAAAACTAAAGTGAATCCAACTTCTAAATAATTATTCATGTGTTTTTAAAAATGTGGAATATTAAAATAATACATCAAATCATAGCTGGTATTAATGTAGCATTCATATTTAGTAAATGTCGCCATTTTGTTTTAGATCATGTGTAAAATCTTTAAGTCAAAAGGAAAGGTTCAGAGAATAATAATGAATACTAACGCATACACCACCTAAGTTAGGAAATAAGACATTGCTAATATAATTAAAGACCCCTGCATGTTCCACCCCTATCTCAAAGATAACCAATATCCAGATTTTTGGTGTTTGTTCACATATCTTTACACTTTTAGTATATATGAACAAAATTAGAATTAATAAATTAACTGTTTTTAGTCATTAAAGAAACAGTATCCTGCAGTTTGATTTTTTTAGCTTAACATTGTTTTGAGACTTATGTTGAGAAGGTGTTCAGGTATATTTATTTTTCACTCTATAATTCTATTAGATAGATATACTATAATTTATTAATCCATTTTCTATTGATGGACATTTATTTGTACTCTTTTTTGCTTATTATGTTGATAATAAGACTTTCTTACATCTTCTTGTTCACATAATAATGTTTTTCATAATAAAACAAACTTGGATTATTCAGGAAAACTTAGAAAAAATAACATTTAGAGTAGAATAATAGCATTGGTTTTCCTTTGATTTCTTTTTTCTATTAAATTATATAAAATTAACACTGTTTATTAAAAGTATCTAGAGGATGATCCCCTTTGTATAAATGTATATTGTCAGTGTATTCTATTTGTATATATACATGGAAAAATGTCTGGAATGATGTTAACTTAATGTTTAATGCCATGATAGCCTAGTTTTCTTGAAAATATGACTTTAAAAAAATCAGGAGTGCCTGGGTGGCTCAGTGGGTTAAGCCTCTGCCTTTGGCTCAGGTCATGGTCTCAGGGTCCTGGGATCAAGCCCCACATCAGGCTCTCTGCTCAGCAGGGAGCCTGCTCCCCCCCGCCCCCCGCCAGCCTCTCTGCCTACTTGTGATCTCTCTCTCTCTGTCGAATAAATAAAATCTTTTTTAAAAAATCAGTTAGATAAAGAAAAGGGAAAGTTAGGAATTTTCTTTTACTTAATCATCATTCATTTTCAGTACCTGTCTTCAATTTCACATGACTAAACGAAAGAGAAGTTACAGCAGTAAATGCCCCTTCTGTGTAACGCAACTTGCAGCAAGTGACTTAGACTGTGTGTAGGAGAGGTTTCCAGGGAGTATTAGAAACTTCCAGTAGCTTTGTTTTCCCTTGTCCCGGGGTTGTGCAGCCCAGCCCCCCCTCTCAAGTTCTGACTTGCCTCGTGGACTCAGCTGTTAGGTTGGTTTGTTTGGAGAGGTTCCTTACGGGCACGGCATATTTAATGAGCATCTCCAAACTGCATGATTATCACAAGTAGAAGAGCATAAGATACTCTGCTTTGTCATTTGGGTAAAAATATAATCTGTTTGTTTTGTAGGTATGACCTTGCTTCTAGGGAGTGGCTTACCCTGAATCGTTCGGTGAACAATGTGGTTGTCAGATATGGCCATTCTTTAGCATTATACAAGGTAAGGTGTCTCCCCTCTGTACAAGCTAGAAATTCCGGTCATCCACACTTGCCTTATTATATCATGTAATCGAAAAGCTACATAGTGTTGGGGTTTTGTCGCTAATCTTCTTTGCTGTGGTAAAATACACATAATATAAAATTTACTGTCTTGACCATTTTTAAGTGTACAGTTCAGTGGTATTAAAGACATCCCTAATGTGTAACTATCACCACCATCCCGCTTTGTGACTCTTCATCTTGTAAAACTACACCACTGAGCCTGTGAAATAATAACTTCCCACATCCCTCCTCCCCTCCAGCCCCTGGCAACCACCATTCTCTTCTCTGTCTCTCTCATTTTGACTTCAGTTTTGGTTTTTAGGTAGGGGGAATCTTTCTGGGTTTTTTTTTTGGGGGGGGGGTGTATATAATTGGCTAAGTTGTAAGTTGAAACCAGTTTAACCTGAGAGATTTTAATGGATTTGAGTTGTACTGGGATATTACAGTTGTTGTACTAAATGGCTAAAAATTAATACTGTGTCAGTTAGCTTTCATGTTAATTAGGAAGTTTAGCCAAGAATAGCCACATTGCAATATAACTGAATAATCACTTTCATTTCCTTGTTTTTGTGGCTTATGGGAGGATGAGGAACTCTTCAACTTTATTTTTCAACTTTATTTTTATGGTTTTATACCATAAGAGATCTCCTGTGAGGAAGTCCAAGAACAGTGGCGAAGTGTTGGACATACAGGATATGATGTTTTATTTTATGTTGTTCCTTTCATTCCTTTCCTAATAATTCACTAAAAGGTGCATTTTACTAGTATTTCTTCAGCTAAGAATAACACTGAGGTTTTGAACTTCTTTTCTTTCTCGGGTTTGATGCTTTTGATTTTTTTTTTAGAATTTTGTTTGCATTTTTTCCCATAGGATAAAATTTACATGTATGGAGGAAAAATTGATTCAACAGGGAACGTGACCAATGAGTTGAGAGTGTTCCATATTCATAATGAGTCATGGGTGTTGTTGACCCCGAAAGCCAAGGAGCAGTATGCAGTGGTCGGGCACTCGGCACACATCGTCAAATTGAAAACTGGCCGAGTGGTCATGCTGGTCATCTTTGGTCATTGCCCTCTCTATGGATATATAAGCAATGTACAGGAATATGACTTGGGTAGGTGTATTTTTTCCAGTGGATCTTTTTGGAATGTCAAATTAAAAATCTCTACCCTTATTATTATGACGGTTGAACAAGATTCCACCTAACTTTGACCCTAGTTCTTTATCTTGAAATGCAGTTAATGTGGCTGTGTTCCCAGTAAAATTCAGATTATTGCTGCTATTATGTCATCTATGTTCCTTGCCATCAGTTTGGTGAGGAGCCAAAGATGACACTAAATGCTTTCAGTGTTGAAAATAAATAAATAAAAGTGGTTTGGAACAACCAATATTCTGAAGAAAAAAAATTAGACGACCCTTTAGAGATTGGTTTAATGGACTGTGGTTTCCCCTTAATGTGTAATCTTTCCGTTGGTTGAATTTTATTATGTCTGTTGTGGTGGTATGGGAGCACCACCTGTAATTGATAGTTTGGGAAAGTAGGTCCATAAAGCACATCTGCATATTGGTCACTGAAGGTCGCGGGGTATTAAGTGTTCACTTGAGGGAAATCCGAGTCTTTTAAATTTAATGTAATTATTTTCCAACACGATATAGTAGAACATCAGAACATTTAACAGATTGATGTTTGGCCACCTGGCTTTGTTACAAGTTTTAGATGACCTTCCTTTAAAAACAAAAAGATTAAAGAAATTTATACATATCAAGCTCCCTGAAATCTCTTATTTTAAACTAGTTGGTCATTTTAAGTATTAGAGAGGAGGAGCCTGCAATGTTTGCCTTTAACTGTTTTCCTCTTCCAGCTAAGAACACGTGGAGTATATTACAAACAAACGGTGCCCTTGTCCAAGGGGGCTATGGTCATAGCAGTGTCTATGACCATAGGACCAAGGCCCTTTATGTTCATGGGGGCTACAAGGCTTTCAGTGCCAATAAGTACCGCCTCGCAGATGATCTCTACAGATACGATGTGGACACCCAGATGTGGTGGGTGCTTTTTCTTGAGCTTTTACTCTAAGGTGTGAATTCTAGCAATTGTTGGGAAAATATTGGGCTCTATTTTTGTTCTAGGCCTAGCAGATAATTCTCTTCAGCATTATAGATAGAGAAATTGGGAAAGAAGCAGAAGGTAATAATGTACCGAGTATTTATTTTATAGCATTATTCTGTAATTTTATAGGAGAATGATTAGAAAACACTTGACTTTTTTGACTGTTCTTTCAATTTTCATATCCTCAATACCTCTATACACTTTTTGCTCTCAAAATCCTGAGGAATAGATTGTTCTGCAAAGCTGTAATGTATGCACATTGCTGTAATTAAGTAAAATATATCCATTTTTTAACCTTGATGACTAAAGTGTCATCCTTGGGCTTAGTTACTGGCATCATTGCATGAAATCATCAAATAGAGGGGTTTCAGGACCTGAGTTAGAACTCTCCTCCCTCTGTTATAAATTGAACTATACATGAAGTGTGCTAATTTTAATAAATGTACAGCAAATTTGAGTTATAAAATAGTGTCATTATATAAAGCAGTGGTTTCTCTTCTTTCTTTTTGTATTTGAGACCAGCTATGGATACCCATTTACATTGTATCGTTAAAATGTCTGTCATTTTTAGTGGCTGTGTAATTACTGTCATGTGGGTGTACTGAGACTGAGCTGTTGGAATTTTTGGTTTCTAGTTGTTGTCTTATTATTAAGGCATTATATGTAAGTTTTCATCTGTATTTGATGTGATTTCTACCCAGAAACTGGAATTATAGGGTCATAAGGTAGGAACAGTTTGAAGACTCTTAAATATGTTTTGTCAAAATTTTCATAGGCCTTTAAGATTACATATTTATTTATTGTTGACAAAGTAACATATATAGGGGTAAATCTAGAAGTATTTGCACATTTGGATCTGAAGTTAAGAAAATGGTTGTGTTTGCATTAGCAAATAGATGATAAATATTCTAAAAAACTAACCTTGTATTTATTATTTTTAAATAAACTCAAAAGGACCATTCTTAAGGACAGCCGATTTTTCCGTTACTTACACACAGCTGTGATAGTGAGTGGAACCATGCTGGTGTTTGGAGGAAACACACACAACGACACATCCATGAGCCATGGTGCCAAATGCTTCTCTTCAGATTTTATGGCTTATGACATTGGTAAGTTTCCCAAAGCCATTTTAGTTTCAAGAATCTTTTTTATCTATGAGCAGCATTTTCTTTTTTTTTAGAGACAGAGCAGTAGTGGGGGATGGAGGGGAGGAAAGAGTATCTTAAGCAGGCTCCACACCCAGCACAGAGCACAGTGCACAGCTTGATCTTATGACCCTGTGATCATGACCATTTTCAAAATCAAGAGTCGGATGCTTAACCATCTGCACCCAGGTGCCCCTGTAAGCAGCATTTTAAGAGAAACTGAAAATATCGCCAGTTAAAATTGGGCCGTTTGAAAGAGTCCAAATGGTATTTTTTGTATTCATGTGACAAATATTATACATGTATTTAAAAAAAGCATTACTTCTATATTAAGTTCTTTTTTATATTTCTTATTTAAGTTTTTAATATATTTTTCTATATTAAGTTCTATTATGTGAAATACTCCCATTAATTGGTTGAATGTTAATTTTTGAAGGTGAGTTGGGGTGACCAGCCTCTTCTATGTTACAAACGAATGCCTTATATAATAGTCTTATGTAGTTGTGACCACCAGCATTGCGTTAAGTTGGTCTGACTAATAGCTTTATCACATTCCCTAAAAAATGGTTTTTACACATTCTTGAAGTCATACTTTGACATGGAATTTAAACGTTTTTTGGTGTGGTAATATACTTGACCAGAAGAGGGCAGTATTTGTTCACACAAAACAAATACTAGCTGTTCTCTTGTTTAAGTAATCATCAGATGTTCTTTTTTAACAGATGTTTATGTGCCTGCTACTGAGCTCGGGGACTGTAAGATGAGTAAATTACAGTGCTTGGCCTCACAGTGGGGGAGGCAGAAAACTGAGCAGACAATATAATTGCAATTCAGGGTGTTACTTGATTTGAGAGGAATATGTGAGAGCATCTCTGGGCATGCCCTAACGCAGGAGGAAATGGGTTATGATCAGGGAAGGCCTTCTTAAGGATGGTCTGGGTCCCGAGGAAGTCAGCTAAGTGAAGTTATGCAACAGCCCATGTACAGAGACACAGCGGCAAAAAGAGACTCTGCCACATACCTAGGGCCTCTGAGTATCAGAGTTTGGGCTGTATCAGCTGCACATCAGGGAGGAACGGCTTCCGGCAGAACTAGAGAAGCCAGCAGCTAGCAGATTAGTCAGATCTTGAGAGACTTGTTATGCCATGCTAAGGAATTTGGGCTTTTTGAAGAATCTTACATAAGAGCTGATGGAATCGTATTTGTGTCTTAGGAAGATCTCTGTGGCATTGTGGTGAGTAGTTGGGAAGGGGCAGGAGAGGAGTTAGGAGGCTGTTGCAAAATCCTGAGGAGGGTTGGAGCCAAGGCTGTTGAAGTGGCAGTGAGGTTCAAGAGAGATGGGTTTGAGAACTGCTGGGAACTTGAGGATTGTTTGGGTGTGTTTTGAGAGAGGCAAACGCATCCTTATTGCCAGGTACCTGGTGTGGCCGTGGTAGACGGTGCTTTTTACCAGGTTGGAAGCAGAAGGAGAGGGGCTGGGTTGCGAGGAAGGGAATACAATGGGTTTGGGGGCATGTTCATCTGGAGATGACCGCGGGACCGACCCATACAGAGATTAGGCAGGGACGAGCCTCTAGGGAGCATGCGTCATCAGGGATGAGCAGAGAGTCAGAATGGATGGATGCCTGTTAGAGAAGCAGGAGGAACACGAGGCAAGATGGGTGACCTGTGAGGGAGCTGTTAACAGTGGCTACAGAGGACTCAAGGAAGACAAGGACTGGGGAGCCTTTTGGATTTTGCAACAAAAGATGTTGTTTGTTAGCTTCTAGACAGGGAGGAGTAATCCAGATTGCAGTCATATAAGAGGTATACCATGAATGTTGACTAGAGTAAAAAAAGAAAAGAAAAAGCCCCACTTCTCTGTAGGAAGAGAACGTGTAGTTGAGTGCCTCCTTGGGCACATTTAAATGCTGTGGTAAAAGTCAGGTGAGACAGGAAGAAAGAGTCCCTGTCACCGTGTGGTTTTTGACAAGCAAGGTGGGTAGGCAGGAAGCTTTGAGGGCTGATGGCCTCTTCTCTGTGTGAAGAAGACCGCCATAGAGTCTAGGCTGGGGAGAAGGAAGCAAATACTGTTGTTGGTAAGGTTGAGTGAAGGTCTGGATCGAGTAGAAGAGCACTTGCTTAGTGAGCATGAAAATATGACTGTTTCAGAGAGGGAGTGTGAGTGAGGTTGGTAGGGTTCTGCCCTGCCGGTTGGATGAAAAAAGGTCCAGAGAAGAATTGCTGTCATGGGTCAGGACAAAGGAAAATCAGTAGATGCTAGGGGTTCTAGGAAAGGACTTGAAGTTTGAATTTTTTATATATTTATCTATTTATTTAGTTTTCATTCTCCACCTGTATTTTCCTATTTTAGCTACTGAGTTTGGGCAAATCAATATGGAGTGGAAAATAATTATGGAGGGCACATGTTTTACTTACATAAATTTTGAAAAATACAAAATTTACCCAAGTTAGGAAGGGTTCTGGTGGGTAAACTTGATGGGCAGCGGAGTGAGTGAGCATCATGGATGTTGGATGCATTCACGAATTAGAATTGCCGTATTATCCTACACCCTTCTTCCATGCCACACTGTTCCACCGCTGCCCCATTTAACCTCAGCAATAATGACTTGATTAAGAAAAACCGAGAAATATATTTTAACCCACTGAGCCACCCAGGCGCCCCCGAGAAATATATTTTATGAGGTTGTGCTTATTGCAGTCTTCTCCCAAAAGAAGATGCCAGTTCCTACTGATTGTGAAGAGCAGCTCCTTCTGAAATGTGTTTTTCTTGCTCCTAGCTTGTGACCGCTGGTCAGTGCTTCCCAGACCTGATCTCCACCATGATGTCAACAGATTTGGCCATTCCGCAGTCTTACACAACAGGTAATTAACTGAAGAAGGGCTTGCTTCTCTTCTCTTGTGTGTAATGTGTATGTATAGTGTAGCAATGGAAATGGAGTTGAGCGTGAGAAAGTGGAATCGGACTTACATATTATTTTCGGGATTCCCTCAGCCCATTAGTTTGTTGCAGAGCTACGTACGTCTGAATTTCCTGATTTATATTTAAAATGTCTGATGTGGATTTGAATTACTTCTGATGCCCAGTTTGTTAGCATGCAGGAGTATGCTCTGTTTGGTGCGGTCTGCATGCACGGGACACAGGAGGTCTTGTGGTACGGTCTCAAGCCCCCCGCTGTTCACTGTTGTTGTCGTGCTTGGGTTGTCAGGTTTCTCTTTGTCAGATCTGAGTGGGAAGGAGGGGTTAAAAAAAAGAAGAGAGGGCATTTCAGATGGACAGGATAGAGGAACAGAGATGGGCAAGTTATGAAGCTTCCTGCAGATAAATACGCAATCTTTGATATTCTGAAATCTGTACTACATTTTGTTGTGTCGCTCAAAAATGCCTGGCCCGAGTTAACTAAATCTGCACCTGGAGAAGGGGAATCCAGATTGGCCACTCTGCCCGTTCCTCACAGTGTACCTTAAAGATCTGTGATCTGTTGGGGCACCTAGCTGGCTCAGTTGGCGGAGCACGTAAAAATTCTTGGTCCCAGGGTTGTGATCTTGAGCCCTATATTGGATGTAGAGGTTACTTAAAAGTAAAATCTTAAAAATAAAGGAAGAAAGAAAGAAAGATAGATTGGTGATTTGTTAAACAGCCTAGTCATATTCTTAATTTTTCCCATTTTGTTTCACCTGTTGTGAGTGTTGTCTATTTCACCTTCTAAAATTCTGAGCCTTAGCAATCCTAAAACTTCTGAAATGCGACAATGCCTACATTATGTTAGGACTCCCCTGGCTTTCAGAATTTCTGTTGTTATGATGCAAGATGAGATGGAGATGTGGGATTAGAAAAGCTGAACCAGTAGCATGTCTTGACGATGTCATGAAGGAGGAATGGGCAAAATTCAGTTACTTAGATATTGGGAAAAGGTGACAACTTTTTAAAGGAATCACTCAGCTGCAATTTAGTGATAAACATGATTTTCCTGTGAGAACATGTGATAGTATAGACTGATACCCATATTGATTTTAAGTGTCACCTTAAATTGTAGGCTGATACTTCCTCAGTGAGGAAAACCCTGAGGTTTTCTAGTGAGTCCCTCTTGATGCTTTCATCTGAAAAGCAGTGGGGCTGTTTTGTCATCCCCTTGCCAGTGGGTTCCTGGCCTCTGCTTCATTCATCTTTATGCCCCTGCTTCTCCCAGCACAGTATTTGGCAGATAATAGACATTCGCTAAATTGTAGCAGCTCCTAGTCTGGTGATAGTAACTAGCAGATAAATGGATCTTCTATTAAAACATTCTAAGGTTCAGACTCAGAGAAGATGACACTTTACCAGACGACAGACTTAAGCCACGAATCAAAATTAGGAATGGCTCGCCTGACTTATCATGATGTTTTCATTTCTGTGTAATTCCAGTGGTGTGTTGGGGCCTATCTGTGAATCATCTGTGTGTATGGGGCAGGGCTAGAGGGGGGCAGCAGATGACGAGAGAGGCCTTGTCTAGTTTCATTTTGTGGAAGAATTTACTAAGAGAGAAACGTGGATATCATTTCTTCGTATCCCAAGTGGTGGTTTTCTTAGTCTGCCAGCAGCTTTGGGTCTGCTGTCCGTCACTTACCTGCTGTCCTTGTGGGTTTTGTAAGGGCCGTGGGCTGAGGAGCTGGCTGCGAGGCCCTGGGGCTGCGAAGAGGTGGCTGTTCCTTTCAGTTGCCTGCTCCAGGCCTTTTTGAAGGACTCTGCGTACCTCACATAGCCAATGTGTGACCAGATGGATTCAGAATTGCTGAACACACCAGCTGTACTGGGAGGGGGTGGAGCTTCTTTGGTTTAAGCAGCAGATTGACTAGTTGAATCCAGACTGCTTAATGTGATACTTAACCCATCGTGAGATTAAAAATTAAACATCGGCTTCATTTTGGGTCATTGAAATGTGTCCATTTCTAGATATAGTATATAGCAGATACTTAGCCATAAAAATCTTTATGCTTTCATAAGTTAGTCTTGTGTTAATTTGAAGGCAGTTGAGGCAAGTGAGAGTGAATGACTTGATGCCTCATTGTGGGTTCGTTCTAAACTTCCGGGCAGATCAGAGGATCTCAGAGTTGGAAGAGATCCTAAAGTCATCAGCTCAAAACTTCTACTTAATGCAGTCATCCCCTTTAAAAGGTCCAGGGATGGAAAACTCACCTAAGAAGGAAGCCCCTTTCTTTTCCAGAGACAACAGTGATTAGCAGGTTCTCCTTTATATGATCTGGAGTCCACTTCTCTGTCTCTTCTGCCCAGTGATCTTGTTTCTGTTCTTAGATTTTGCAAGAGATTATTATGGGAGGCAGAGGTGGAGAAAGAAGCAGGCTCCCTGCCGAGCAAGGAGACTGATTCGGGACTCGATCCCAGGACCCTGGGATCATGACCTGAGCAGAAGGCAGTGACTTAACTGACTGAGCCACCCAGGTGTCCCAAGAGATGATTATGTTTAAGGATGGTGTTGTGTCTCCTTTCTGTATAGCGCCCAGCCTCTTTCTTCAGGTTCTATTCTGGCACAGTGGTTGGCAGGGTTGAGGATGTCCCAGCAAATGGCACACAAGAGGCATAGAGGTACCGTGTATGTGGCAGATAGATATGGCCCTGGGTACCCTGTGAGACAAACCCTACCATTTGCTGGCATTGGCCTCCCACCATAGTGTTTTTTTTTGTTTGTTTTGTTTAAAAGATTTTTTAAATTTATTTCACACAGAGAGAGAGATCACAAGTAGGCAGAGAGGCAGGCAGAGAGAGAGGGGGAAGCAGGCTCCCTGCTGGGCAGAGAGCCCGATGCAGGGCTTGATCCTAGGACCCTGAGATCATGACCTGAATTGAAGGCAGAGGCTTTAACCCACTGAGCCACCCAGGCGCCCCCCACCATAGCGTTTTAAGAACTTTCCCTGGAACTACTACACAGCTGTTTTTGTTTTGAATGTGTGTGAGTCTGCGTAGATGGCCTGTTAAACAGCTTTATTGGAGTTGATAAACACAACAAATTGAGTATACTTAAAGTGTATCCTTTGATAACTTTGACATAAGTGTACACTTGTGAAATAATCACCATAATCAAGATAACATATCTATCACCCACTAAATGTCCTTGTTCAAAATGCCCTATTTTATATTCATGAGGAATAGTGCCTCATAGTTTTGTGATTTATTTTTAATGATATATTTGTCTGATTATACCGGACAGAATACATTGAGAAGTATTCTTTCCCCCTGTAGTTACTGGAAAGACCTATAAAGGATTGGTATTACACTTTAAATGTTTAATGTTTGGTAGAATTCATCTGGGCCTGGGCTTTTGTTTGTGGAAAGATTTTAAAATTGTGAATTCAGTCTTTACTTGAGATAGGTTTATCTGTTTGGATTTTCTGGCTAAGCAGTTTTTTTAGATTTTTTAAAAATTTTGATAAAATTTTCATTACATAATATTTACCATCTTAACTGGTTTTTTTTTTAAAAGACTTTATTTATTCATTTGACAGACAGAGATCACAAGTAGGCAGAGAGGCAGGCAGAGAGAGAAGGGGAGGCAGGCTCCCCGCTGAGTAAAGAGGCTGATGCGGGGCTCGATCCCAGGACTCTGGGATCATGACCTGAGCCGAAGGCAGAGGCTTAACCCACTGAGCCACCCAGGCGCCCCCATCTTAACTGTTTTTAAAGTGTGTGGACTAATGGCACACATTGTGAGCAACCATCACTGCCATTCATCTCCCGAACATTTTTCATCACACAAACTGAAGCTCTCTACCCACTGAACAACAGCTTCCCATTCTGCCCTGCCCCTGCCTTCGGCAACCAGCACACTAGCTTCTGTCTTTGTGAATCTGACTACCTCGGGTACCTTTACCTGGAATCATACAGTATTTGTCCTCTTGTGCCTAGCTTATTTCACTTAGCATAATAGCCTTAAGATTCATTCATCCATGTTTTAGCAGGTGTCAGAATTTCTTTCCTTTTTAAGGCTGAATAATACTCTCATATATGTATACCACATTTTGTTTATCCGTTCTTCTGTCGGTAGATACTTGGTTTGCTTCCACCTTTTGCCTTTTGCAACATAATGCTGCTATAAACATGGATGTACAAATATCTGAGTCCTAGCTTTCAGTTCTTTTGGTTATATACTGAGAAGTGCAATTTCTAGATCATATTGTAGTTCTGTTTTTAAATTTTTTGAGAAACTAGATAGTTTTGATAATCAGTCTTGCCAGGAGTTTGTTTCATTTAAGTTGTTTAATTTGTTGGTATAAAAGTTCATAGTATTTCTTTATATGCTTTTTAATTTCTTGAAGGTCAATAATGATGTCCATTCTTCATTCCTGATTTTGTTAATTTATCTTCTGTCTTTGCTCTTGGTCAGTCTAGCTAAAGGGTTGTCAGTTTTATTGATCTTGTCAAAGAACAAATTACTGTTTTCATTTTTCTCTATGTATTTTATTGTTTCTTCTTGATATCATTTTCTCCATTCTGATTGCTTTGGGTTTAGTTTGCTTTTCTTTACTAAAGGTGGAAGCTTTGGTTACTGATTTTAGATTCTTTTTTTTTTTTTCCTAATATATGTGCTTAAAGCTGTAAGTTTGTCTCTAAGTACTACTTTAATCCCATCCCATAAATTTTGAAATGGCATATTTTTGTTTTCATTTAGTTAAAAATATTTTCTAAGTTCCCTTGTGATTTCTTCTTTGACCCATAGGTTATTCAGAATATTTTCTTTATTTTTCAAATAATTGTGGAGTTCACAGATTTTTCTGCCTGTTTATTTATGATTTAATTCCATTTTGGTGATCAGAGAACATACTTCAAAGATTTCCTTCCCTAAAAATACAAAAACAAAAAACACTTACTGCATTCTTGTTTGTTTGTTTGTTTGTAATGGCCTAGCATATATGGTCTCTCTGGGAGAATGTTCCATGTGCCCTTGAAAAGAATATGTGTGCTGCTTTATTTAGGTGACGTGTTCTACAGACGCCAGCAGGTCATATTGGTTGATAATGTTGTTCAAGTTTTGTGTATCCTTGTTAATTTTATTCCTAGTTGTTCTCTCATTATTAAGAGTGAGATATTAAAGTCCTCAACTATAATTGTTACTTTACTGTTTTTCATAAGACCTGACAGCAAAGAATTTTCTTAGTCTTTGTTTCTCTGGGGAGGTCTTTATTTTAGTTTCATTTTTGAAGGATAGTTTTGTTGGGTAGAGAATTCTTATTTGACTTTTTTTTTCTTTCCATTACTTCAGTATCTTCTTTCTCTGCCTTATGGCCTCCATTGTGTCTTAGCCATTAATATTAATGTGATTCTCTTGTATGAGTTATCCTATGCAGTTTTTTATTATAATGTATGTAAACATGGATCTTTTTGTGATTGTTCTAGTTGGAGTTTGGTGAGCTTTATGGATGGGTGTGTAAAGTAATCATTTTCACCAAATTTGGGGAGTTTTCAGCTATTACTTCTTTAAGTGTGTTTTCTGCTCTCTCTCACTTCTTTCCTTCTGAGACTCCCATTATGTTTATGTTGGATACTTGACAGTGTCCTGCAAATCTCTGAAGCATTTTCTCTTTTCATTTTCTTTGATATTTTTTCATTTCTTTTCTTCAGATTATACAATTATTTATTTATTTATTTTTAAGATTTTATTTATTTGACAGAAATCACAAGTAGGCAGAGAGGCAGGCAGAGAGAGAGGGGGAAGCAGGCTCCCTGATGAGCAGAGAGCCCGATGCGGGGCTTGATCCCAGGACCCTGGGATCATGACCTGAGCTGAAGGCAGAGGCTTTAGCCCACTGAGCCACCCAGACACCCCTTTTTGTTTGTTTTTAAGATTTTATGTATTTACTTATTTGAGAGAGAGAGAGAGAGAGAGAGAGAGACAGAGCACAAGCCAGGGTACAGCAGAGGTAGCAGGAGAAGCAGGCTCCCCACTGAGCAGGTAGCCAGTGTGGGACTTGATTCCAGGACCCTGGGATCATGACCTGAGCTGAAAGCAGACACTTAACCCACTGAGCCATGCAGGTGACTCTGTATGTACTGTAACATTTTGTTGAAAACCAAACCTTTTAGGTAATATCAGGTGTGGATTCTGATTCTCCCACCATTGCCACTGGGGGTTGTTATTACTGTTTGTTTAGTGTCTTGCCTTGACTAATTCTGTAGTCTGTCTCCCTAATGTACCACTGCTGATTTTTTTCTCCCTAGTTGTTTTTTTCGTTTTTTTTTTTTTTTAAAGATTTTATTTATTTATTTATTTGACACACACACACACACACACACACACACACACACAGAGCGAGAGAGGGAACAAGCAGGGGGAGAGGGAGAGGGAGATGCAGGTTCCTGCAAAGCAGGGAGCCCGATGTGGGGCTTGATCCCAGGACCCCGGGATCATGACCTGAGCCAAAGGCAGACGCTTAACGACTAAGCCACCCAGGTGCCCCTGTTTTTTCTTGTTTTTATTTTTAAATCTGACTTCCTAGAGGTTGCCTTTAAAGAGTCCTATGTGGTTTTTTTCTGAAGGTTAGGGGAAAGAATGGTTTTTAGATATCGCAATCTATGTACTAGTCATATTTATTGCTACTAGGTTGGTCATTGTTTCTAGCCCTTTTAAGAAGAGAAGTTAAAGAGAAACTTTTTTGCTTTCTTGTTTTTATATTTGTAATTTTTAAAGATTTATTTATTTGAGGGGGGAGGAAGGACAGAGGGAGAGGGTGAGAGAGTCCCAACCAGACACCATGCTAAGTGCAGAGCCCGATGTGGAGCTTGATCTCACAACTCTGAGATCATGACCTGGGCCGAAACCAAGAGTTTGCTTAACCGACTGTACCACCCAGGCACCCTGTTGTTACGGTTTTTAAAATGAAAAATGATATTTTGTGTGTGTGTGTGTGTGTGTGTGTGTGTGTTTTCCTTCTTCCCTCACTAGATAAATGGTTGCATCCAATATATACTTTTCTCTGCATTTCATTTTTTTCCCACACCACATAGCAGAATGTAGAAATTGTCCTCATTCCTTTTTACATCTGCCAACTGCTGTGTTCATTGTGTGGAGGTACCATAGTTTACTCACATCACATCCTGAATTGATGGACCTTTGGGGACATTTCATCTGAAGATTATAAAAAGCATATATAGAAACCTTGTATATAGAAACCTTCAGTAAACTACTCTCCTTTTTTTTCCCCCCCTTTTAGCACCATGTATGTATTTGGTGGTTTCAATAGTCTCCTCCTCAGTGACACCCTCGTATTTACCTCAGAACAGTGTGGAGCACACAGGAGTGAAGCTGCTTGTCTGGCAGCAGGACCTGGCATCCGGTGTGTGTGGGATACGGGGTCATCTCAGTGTATCTCCTGGGAATTGGCCACTGAAGCACAAGAAGAAAAGTTAAAATCAGAATGTTTTTCCAAAAGAAGTATGTTTTTTTCCTTTTCTTAAAATTTAATTAATTGGAAATCTCATTTTATCTGAATTATGACGGTATCTAGCACATATGCATTTTTAATGTTCATTTTATTATCTAAAATGGTTTGGTAATAACTGGTGCACAAGCTTTATGGGTGTTTGAAAATAGTTTTGTAAACCTCTTTACAGTGGATGGGAACATGCCATGTGGCTCCGAGAAGCTGTCTGTGAATGATGGAGACAAAACCTCCTTGGCATTGCATAGAGTTTGTATACCAGCTCCTAAGCCTGGCAGTTGGTTTTGGCGATACAATACAGTAGGACCTTTTTGTGATAATGGAAATGTATTATTATGCGTTGTCCCAGTATGGGAGCTACTAGCCAGAGACACTTGAAATGAGACTGGTGTGACTGATGAATTTTAAACTTTCATTAATTTAAATTAAGAATTACATGAGACTGGTGGCGACCTTACTGGATTCTGCAGTTCTTACGCTAAGGGTGAGATTAAGAGGGCCAACCTGGAAAAGCTATGTTGGAGTAGATAAAGAATAGAGGTAGAGTTGCTGTCTTTGCAAAGTATTCTTTTCTAGCTTCTCTAGTTGGGCACAGCAGTGATAGCAAGACAGAGAGTTGCTGAGTGTGACCAGTGGTGCTGGCTTCTAGAACCACCACTTATGTTTTCTAAGCTTTCTTCATCTTGCCTACTTAGCTGCTTATGTTTTTGCTGTGACATGTAGCACAGTGTAATACGGTGATGTAAGAACTAAGAAATCCTTTTTTAAAAAAAGTCTCTGCAAAATATTTGTTCACTTCAATTATTTTAAAGAATGTTGGCTGAATTTCTTAACTGTTAAGAGTTGTATGTAGCAAGTTACCTTGAGGGTTATGGTAGATAAAGTCAGCTTTCACTCTGCTGGAATGCTCCAAAGTAAGATGATCATAGATCCCCAAAGGGCATCCAGACAACTTTCCAATGAGTGGTGGAGAACTAAGGGGACCAGAACCTGGTAGGGATAGACAGTATCTACACTGTCTCTTCAAATGAATAAAATTCATGAAATTGTTTTTTTTCTTCTTAAACCAAATTTTAAAAGTTCAAATTAAATGTGCAAGAGTATAGGAAGCAATGTTTGATTACCGTAGGTGGTTCAATATAAACCTCTTTGCTATGAACTCATCTCAGATGTTGCATCTTTGGTCACTCTGCTTTCTCTGTGGGCCCAGTCCTTGTGGTGGTGACAGGAGAGGTAGAGTAATCTAAGGCGCATGCTTTGTGTGTGTGGCGGAGTGGGGGGCTGGCTGTCTTGTCCATGGGTTCAGCCATGTGCCATGTCCGTAAGTGTATCAGTAGATCAAGCAGTATGGTTGTGCAGCCTCTTTCTTTTTGCTGACCTTGACCTGTCTAGGGTCAGTAGGAGACATAAAAGGTCTGTAGTAGCCCAAAAGTTCTCACATTTGCACTCTTAGACTTACATACATGTATAAATTGTAGCTCAGCCTAGTGTCTCTTTTGGGGTTCTGTGGTGCTGCCTCCTTCCTCTGTCCAGATTAGCTTTGCATTTGTAGCTAGAGCAGTGGCTTGGTCTTCTGCATTACTTTGTTTGCCTCTTGGGCACTCTTGGTGTTCATTATATCACTAATTGCTTTCTTTCCTTGGAAAGAGAAGTATTCAAAGAACCAGACCTACTTCCCTTATATCTCATTGTTGTTGAATTAAATTAACCTATCTTTGTTTTTCCCTCTAGTGTACTCTTGGTGGGGGCATGGAAGTTTACAAAATACTGTTCTCTCTCTTTTTTTTTTTTTTTTTTAATTTTTACTTATTTATCTGACAGCGAGAGGGAACTCAAGCTGGGGGAGTGGGAGAGGGAGAAGCAAACTTCCTGTTGAGTCTGGGAGCCCAAAGCAGGGCTCGATCCCAGGACCTTGAGATCATGACCTGAGCCAAAGGCAGATGTTTAACGACTGAGCCACCCAGGCTTCTCACAAAATAGTGTTTTTTCAAACTGTTTATTTATTTCCAAATACTATTTTAACCTGAACACACCGATATATTTTCCTGCCAGTTTTTCTTCTTTTTTAACTTCCCAACCCTTGTTACATTGGTTTTTTTTCAAACCTTAGTCTCAGGTTGTGCTCAATAGCGGCTATTGGCCTGTGACTTTTCTAAGACGAAACTGTCACAGTTGATGAGTTCTTCTTCTTTTCATAGCTCTTGACCACGACAGATGTGACCAGCACACGGATTGTTACAGCTGCACAGCCAACACCAATGACTGTCACTGGTGCAGTGACCATTGTGTCCCCGTGAACCACAGCTGCACAGAAGGCCAGGTCAGGGACTGCTTCTCAAGGGTTTCAGTGGATGAAGAAGCCCCAGGGCGGGTCAGGGGTGAGATTATGGTGTGTGTCACACAAATACTGGCCCAGAGGTATTTTTCAAAACCTCCAGTGTAGTTTCAGGCTTTCTTTTAGGAAGGGATGCTATATATATCCTAATTTCGAAGGTCTTGCTAGCCACAGGATTGGTGTGTCATGTCTTAGAAGAAAGTAGGACTGTTATTCTGTGTACTCCCCACTCCCTAGGCATGGCTCTAGCTAGGTCCTCGATTCTTGGTGAGAGGCTTGTCATGGTGAGCTCACTCTACTTGTGCAAGCTTTGGGGAGCAAGTTAGGACTTGAGACTGAAGGTGAGTCAGGCAACTTAATGAAATCTCCTTGTCTTGTGTTATATCATGGCTCAGTGTAATTTATGCTCACCATTTATGATTTTTTTACTTGGGTGATAGGACAGAAAAAGATACAGTGACTCCGCCTCTGTAGTTTTTGACAGTTTATTCTGTAAAGCAGTTCATAAAGTATGAGAGTTTTAGACTGTTCAGGAGGCATTTGAAAAGCGGCAGGTTGAACACCCCCATTTCACAGCTGAGCAGGTGAAAGCATGGTGTTTAAAAGAGCGCCTTGCCTCCTTGCTGGGTCAGGACATGTCCTGTGCGAAAGATTTCAGCACACTCTTTCCACCAGAGGGCCGCCTCACCTGCATCTTATGTCTTTATTTGCAGTTTGCTTCCTCAATTAGATTTTGTTGATTTTAGTACCCTGTCCTTACCATGAGTTCTGTCCGTGGATTAAGAGAAAAGCTTTTGTCTGCTGTGTTCTAGATCTCCATTTCCAGATACGAGAATTGTCCCAAGGATAACCCCATGTACTACTGTAACAAGAAGACCAGCTGTAGGAGCTGTGCCCTGGACCAGAACTGCCAGTGGGAGCCCCGCAATCAGGAGTGCATCGCTCTGCCCGGTAGGCCTTATAGGGGCATCTGGGTGTCTGTGGGTCCAGAGACTTCACACACAAACACACATCCCCACCCCCAATACTGTGCAGCCTAGACTGCACCCAAGAGAGGGAACAAACTTTTTATCCATTCATTCCCCCATTCCACTATTGTGGTTATTTTTTTTAAATGAAAGTACAATTCTTAAGCATTTGCTGCTCCTGTCCTTTGAAATAAAGTAAAGCATTATCTGCTGCTCTGGAGAATGGAATGACAGCTTGGCTCCATGTCATTGAGCCTGCTCCATTGTCCCTGCTTACCTCTGCTCTGGTCACCTAGCAATCGAAAGCAGCAGTCTTGGCAGCCGGTCTGTGTGCCACTTGGTGAAGGACGCTTCTTGCCACTGGGATCAGGCTGTTAGCACCTACTGACAAGAAGGAGGGGAGATGGTTTTCTCACCAGCAACCCCCTGAGGCGCTCTCCAGTCCTGAACACCTCAATTTATGGCAGCTGAGATTGAGGACGAAGAGTTGAGGGCCTCAGGCCAGCCAGCCACAGCAGAAGTTCTGTGATATATTTGCTCACCCAGGATTTCCAAGAAGGGGGACATCAATGGTTCTGCACAGCTTCCGAAGCACGCACACAGCAGCAGGGTCTGCCAGGCCCCTTCTCAGGGTCCTTTGAGAGTACTGGATTTGGCTTGCACGAGTGTGAGCTGCGTGTTCTTTACCTCATTGTATCCGACTTCAGTGTACTACAGAGTACCAGAGGGTCTTGTCAGGACTCAGGTTCTGGTGCATATTGGGGGTGGAGCCCCAGAATCTGCATTTTAATGAGTAGTGACACTGATGCCACACTTGAAAGAGCACACCTTGTTTGCTCTTAAATGACCCCTTTTCTGGGGCATGTTCCACTTGCCTCAATGACCAGTCACAGGCATCATTGGTGGTGTGTCCAGGTTACTCAGTTCTGGCAAAGTTGCCTTGCTTGTTCCCTGTCTTCCAGGAAGCATAGAGAACTTCTGAAGCTCGGGACACAGAGCTGAGCTGGGTGGGTACAGGGTGAACACAGGAGCAGATTACAGTCTTACCCTATTTGCTGCACCTGTATCACTTAGGGTTTTTTGTTTTTTGTCTTTTTTTCTAAAAAGGATCTTTCCAGAAACCTCACTTTCAGGAAGTTTTGTACCCTTGATTTTACCTTCCACTTGATGTGAAACAATGCACCTTTGAAGACCATCGTCTTGTTCACTCACCGACTCATTTCTATCCTCTAGTTTTCTTCCCGACCCTTTCTATCTGCATATTCATTGCTCTGTTCTTAGGATTTTGGTCTTGTTTCTAATTATTCTTCAAAAGGGGGCTTAAAAATCTAGCACTGGCACCTAAGATTTTTTTTCCTCCAAGATATAGAGCAATTGACCTTAGAATATTGAGATCCAGGAAGCAGGACTGGTGAAGTCTAACATTATTGTATTCTGCATCAGTCCTTAGTTATGTGTTGGATGCCCTCACCACATCCTGGTGAGGTACTGCGGAATTCAAATCACTGAAACCTTTTAGGTTTCTGGTCATTTGAACTGGTAATGTGGTAGTTTTGTGTGATTTCTAAAACTCTATTTTTTTTCCCTCCTCCCTTCACAAAAGAAAATATCTGTGGCATTGGCTGGCATTTGGTTGGAAACTCCTGTTTGAAAATTACTACTGCCAAGGAGAATTATGACAATGCTAAATTGTCCTGTAGGAACCACAATGCCTTTTTGGCTTCTCTTACAACCCAGAAGAAGGTAGAATTCGTCCTTAAACAGCTGCGGATAATGCAGTCATCACAGAGCATGGTGAGTTCACATCCTCAAAACCGAAGCTTCTGGTACCCACACTTGTACTGAACGCACCCAAGCAGCTTCCCTGTGGTGGTATGCCCGGCAGGCGGAGTACCTAGTGCATGAGTGTAGTTGAGGGAGTAAGAAGACAGTCTGTCCTAATCTGCTGTGGTTGAATTGGATGGGGAGGTTTTCCTTTGTCTGTTGGGGTATATATAACTTGGTGGTTTTTACCTAGAAGGTTTTTTTGGTCAAGACAATGCTTGTATTCAAAGCTACATCTCTTATGCCTGTAGTCCAAGCTCACCTTAACCCCATGGGTTGGCCTTCGGAAGATCAACGTGTCCTACTGGTGCTGGGAAGATATGTCCCCATTCACAAATACTTTGCTACAGTGGATGCCATCTGAGCCCAGTGATGCTGGATTCTGTGGGATCTTGTCAGAGCCCAGTACTCGGGGCTTGAAGGCTGCAACCTGCATCAACCCACTCAATGGCAGTGTCTGTGAGAGGCCTGGTGAGTCTGTGGGTGAAGGACTTGTCAGTGGAAGTTCACTGAGAGACCGTAGGAGGTGTGTGCGATATTCAGAGGTGTGAGATAGTCACGAAAAACAGATGGAGTATTGATTCCAAGCATATGAAGCGGAGTATAGCGCAGAACTTAGAAGTGGAAGGAAACAGTCTCTGGCTGTGAATAGTATGAGCCAGAAGCATAAACAAAAAAACTAACACTACTCTAAGAACCTAACATTCTAATTAACGTGAGATTGATGGGTTTGCTGACCATACGAAGTACTGAGAATTGCTCTGAAAGGCAAATGTCCTTAAGGTTGGCAGAGAAACGCTGTGGAAGCAGGAACAAAAAATGCAAAGAAAAGGTCAGAAAAGCAAGCAGGTCACTTCAAGGGACAGTAGACAGAAAGCGTCAATGGGGAGAAAAATGGGGAGAGCAGTCATAGGACAGAAAGCAGAAGCTGTCCTGATCGGCGCTAGCGCTGTGGGAGGGTCTGAGGGCAGGCGCTGAGTTGCTTCTCAGGTTCACAGCTCCCCTGTGGGCTGCCTTCAGGCCTCCCGTGGGCAGGCACAGGCAGCATCTGCAGCACGCAGACAAGCCAAGACAAGCATCATAGCCTACAGAGGGACTCACTTGAAGTAGGCGGAATTTTGTGCGCACTTCTTGGGAGGCTGTATGCCATTGACATTGTGTTTCATTTTAGGAAGGTATTCCAAGTCGTCCGAGGAGTACAAGGGTGGAGAAAAGAATTCATAGCCCTGAAAGAATCCTCTTAAAATATGGTTTCTAAGCTTCCTGTAGGGGAGCATTTCAGCCATTTTGGGTACTGAATGCTTTGGTGCATTTAATGCATGCTGTGGTCCCTCTTGCCCCCAGATATACAAAGATAACAAGTTTTCATGTTCAGGTGGGTCGTAAAACCCCTAAAGGTCATCTTGAGTCCCATATACCGCAAGGAGCTTTAGAACTGCTATGCTTCTGGGAAGATTCGCTTGTTCCCTCATGTCTGTCCTTAATGCTCTTTGAAAAGAGAGAGAAAGGGTTTTTTCTCCTATGTGGATATACTTGACCAGCCCAGTATCTGGTTTTCAGTTTTCTCCTACATTAACTGTAGCCCCCTGATTTGATTTCATGACCTACTAGTGGGTCACAACCCATCCCAAAAAGCCTTTGACCTTGGCCAGCGTAGCAGGAGCACTAAGTGTCTGTGTTGGATTTGCTTCCTAGCAAACCACAGTGCCAAGCAGTGCCGGACGCCGTGTGCCCTGCGGACAGCATGCGGGGAATGCACCAGTGGCAGCTCTGAGTGCATGTGGTGCAGCAACATGAAGCAGTGCGTGGACTCCAACGCCTACGTGGCCTCCTTCCCTTTCGGCCAGTGTATGGAGTGGTACACCATGAGCAGCTGCCCCCGTAAGTGGAAGAGTGCAGCTCCTGCTGGGGGGTCGTGCTGTCAATCTCTCAGCCTTTTAGGGACAAGACCGGAGACTGCCTGAGGAGAGGAGAACCTTTGCACACAGTCCAGCACTGGTGGGGCAGCTGCCCCCCCCCACCCCCCGTTGGTTAAGCGTCTGGCTCTTGATTTCAGATGTGAGCATAATTTTGGGGTCGTGAGATGGCACCCCATGTCGGCCTCCATGATCAGTAGGGAGCCTGCTTGAGATTCTCTCCCTCTGCCCCTCCCCCAACTCGTTCTCTCTTTCTTTCTCTCTGTCTCAAATAAACAAATCTTTAAAAAAAAAGAAGAAGAAGAAGAATCAAGCCCTGTGGGACAGGGCATGGAGTACAGAAACAGCTTGCCCAGCTTCAGCATCGAATTGCTCAAGCCATGTAATGTCTCCACATCTTCCTCTCCTGATTCGTGAAATAAGTGCTTTCTGGTAGATGGCCGCTAAGGTCCCTTCTGCCTCCACATCTTAGGATTGACAGAGGAGGGGAGGAGCCCCTGTTCTATGTTGGGCAAGCTATTGGGCCCTTTAAATTTTTTGTGTCATTTAAGAAATCCCCTTAGAATAGGAATTTTTGACAGAATAGTCTGTTTAAATAAAAGGTAATTTAGGGGTGGCTGGGTGTCCCAGTCAGAAGAGCATGCATCTCTTGATCTCAAGGTTGTGAGCTCAAGCTCCACATTGGGTGTAGAGAGTACTTAAATAAATTAATTAATTAATTTTAAAAAGCCTTTTTTTTTTTAAGATTTTATTTATTTATTTGACACAGATCACAAGTAGGCAGAGAGGCGGGCAGAGAGAGAGAGGAGGAGGCAGGTTCCCCGCTAAGCAGAGAGCCCGATGTGGGGCTTGATCCCAGGATACTGGGACCATGACCTGAGCCGAAGGCAGAGGCTTTAACCCACTGAGCCACCCAGGCGCCCCTTAAAAAGCTTTTTGAAAAGGTAATTTAGATATAATGAATTCAAAGTGGCATGCTGTAGTGGACTGTAACTTGTGTTCTTTTACAGCTGAAAATTGTTCAGGCTATTGTACCTGCAGCCATTGCCTGGAGCAGCCAGGCTGCGGCTGGTGCACTGATCCCAGCAACACTGGCAAAGGCAAATGCATAGAGGGCTCCTATAAAGGACCAGTGAAGATGCCTTCTCAGGCCCCTGCCGGGAATTCCTACCCACAGCCCCTTCTCAATGCCAGCATGTGCCTGGAGGACAGCAGATACAACTGGTCTTTCATTCATTGTCCAGGTAAGATGCCTTGTGTATCCAAAATCAAGTGTTCTACTTATTTACAAAGACTAAAACTTTGAAAGCTACATTATTTATATGAATTTGCTTTAGGGGAAAAAAATGTAACAGAGCATTTTAGAAGAAATAGTTTTGCATGAAAAATATACACATTTTTTGCATGAAAAATATTTTTAATGTCAGTTCATGAAAACACAGAAGTTCAAGTGTGGTGTTTTGCTTTCACTGTAAAAGTATTGAAGTATGTTTGTTATGAACAAATATTGCAGATGTAGATAAAATAAAAACTGGAATTCTTCTCCAGTTCTTCAGAGAAGTAAAAACTTCTAATGGTTTAATATAGACACTGTCTATTTTAAAAATAGAAAGTACTGTGGTGTATAGGATTAATATGTATTGTTCTGTAGTTTGCTTTTTACTGAAAAATACATTATGGCAGCCGTTAGGGGAAAATGAAAAACAAAACCACCAACCCAGAAGTTCCTCTCCACAAATGTAGAAAAAAAGGAAAACAGTTTTATTTTGAAAAGCATCAAACCATCAAACTGTTGTGCACCCTACAGGCAACCCACTAATGAGACTGCAAAGACAGAGAGAAATCTCACCCTTTTAAATAGCCAGGCATATACAATCCATTACATAAATGTTTTGAAGATGAATGATAACTTGTCCTCATATGAGAGGATTTGACAGCACCGTTTGCTGTACTGTCGTTCATAGTTTATCCTGAATTTACTTGGTAATTGGGGTGGCCACCTGTGTTAGTTAATTGTCTTTATCCAAAAAAAAAAAAAAAAAAAAAAAAAATCCTGTATCTTTATGGCAATCAGGTGGTTACACTTTGGCACAAAGGCACCCAGACTGAATTCCCAAAGTGGCAGGGATATAGAGTGCTGCCTTCCTTGATGTTTACATTTCAAAGTGATGGCTCCCAGGCCCTTAAAGAAAACATTCCTGGACTGTTGTGCTGACAAGAGGTTTATTGAGGTATTTTTAAAAAAGATTTACATAATATACATATCAAAGAAACAGACAGGATTTGTAAATACAGGTTTTTCTTGAAAAACTCTAAGAATAGGGAGAGGGGAAAAGGTCCCTATCCCTTTTGGCAAGAGGAAAATTAAGCCTGTCTGCCTCCTCTCCCTCCTTCCCTCGTCCTACTCTCCCTCTGCTCCCTTCTCCTCCTTTCTTCCAGTGGTTGGTGCCAGAAGGAATAGACCGTGAGTTGGCCTAAAGCCTGACTCTATCCCTGCTGGGGATGCTGCCCTGAGAGATTGGCCTTTGATTCAGACTTTCAGTAAATACTCAGGAATATGCCGAAGGGTCTGCAGAATACCGGGGAGGGGGATGGTTAGGCAGGTGCAAAGACCCCCGGGAGGTTAGTGGGTAGGAAGATCTCCAGGAGTCTGATAGTGCCACCAAGAATAAGGCTCTTTGTGGGGACGTCTGTAAGGGAAAGACCATGGGGAGCAATGGTAAAAGGCAAGAGACAGGGTGGGGGAACATAGCTGCCGTGTGTATAATAAGTGATTATCATCCTGAGTATGCAAACCTCTGCCCTCCAGAAGAAAGCGCTGTCAGCTCAGTAGAAAAAGTGGACAAAGGATGTAAAGAAATCTTTCTCAGAAAAGGAAGCAGAGCAGGGAAATGTAAAATAAGAAACCGGTCTTTTCCCTCCAAACAATTAAATTTTCTGTGTTCTCTTTTTTCCTCTCTAAGATGTCAGAGGATCTATCATTCTGTTTCTAATCTACTAGTTTAACTCATGAAGTATTTAAGTCTGTGCATTTTTATTAATATCAAGACTATATGAGGTGAAATGGCAACCCACAGAGTGGGAGAAAATATTTGCAAACCATATTCAGTATCTGGTAAGAGTCTAATGTCCAGAATATGTAAAGAACTCTTAAAACTCAACAGTAAAAAGACAACCCAATTAAGAAGTGGGTAAAAGACTGAAATAGACATTTCTCCAAAGAAGATACACAAATGGCCAATAAGCACAAGAAAAGATGCTCAACAACATTCGAGAAATTGGAACCCTCACACATGGCTGGAAGGAAAGTAAGCTGGTGTGGCCACTTTGGAAAACAGTTTGGCACTTTCTCAAAAAGTTAAACATAGAGTTCTCATATGGCCCAGTATATGCCCAGGAGAATTGAAAACATATGTCCACGCAGAAACTTGCAGTGAATGCTTATAGAAGCATTATTCATAATAGACAAAAATGGAAACAACCCAGTGCCTGTCAAGTGGCGAATGGAAAAACATGATGTGATACGTTCATATGATGGACACTGCTAAGCGATAAAAGGGGTGAATGGAGTAGTGTAGTCTGCGACACCGATGAGCCTCAAAAGCCTGCTATGTAAAGGCAGGCCCACGCAAAGACTGCATGGTGTATGATACCATTTATGTGAGACGTCCAAAAAAGAGCAAACACACAAAAAGAGCAAACACGCGGAGACAAAAAAGAGCTCAGCGATCAACCTAGGCCGGGGGTAGACATGAGTAGTAATGGGCACGGGGTTTTCTGAAGTAGCGGTGCCATGTCTCACCCTCCCTGGCCAGCCTGAAAAGATTGAGACTTCTCCACGTGCTCATCAGTACTTGTATCTGTTATTTTTTTGGTTTGGGGGACTTTGTTTTTGTTTTTGTTTTTTGATACATGTTGTAGTGTGTGAGAAATGGTATCTCTGGTTTTGATTTGCATTTCTTTAATGACTGATGAAGTCGAGCATCTGAAGGCCATCTGTGTCTTCTCTGGAGGAATGTCTTTTTGAATTCTTTGCCCATTTTTTTTTAAAGTTTTACTTATGTATTTGACAGAGAGAGAGAGAGATCACAAGCAGGCAGAGAGACAGGGAGAGGGGGAAGCAGGCTCCCTGCTGAGCAGAGAGCCCGATGGGGGGCTCGATCCCGGGACCCTGGGATCATGGCCCGAGCTGAAGGCAGAGGCTTAACCCACTGAGCCACCCAGGCACCCCTCTTTGCCCATTTTTAAATTGTGTATTTGTCTGTTAATTATTGACTCATAGAATTCTTTTTTTTAAACAATTTTTAAAAAGATTTTATTTATTTATTTGACAGCGATCATAAGTAGGCAGAGAGGCAGGCAGAGGTAGGTGCGGCAGGGTGGGGGGAAGCAGGCTCCCCGCTGAGCAGAGAGTCAGATGCCGGACTCGATCCCATGACCCTGGGATCATGACCCAAGCTGAAGGCAGAGGCCTTAACCTACTGAACCACCCAGGCGCCCGGACTCATAGAATTCTTTATGAAGTCTAGATACAAGTTCTTATTGATTATATGATTTTCAAATATTTTTTCCCATTCTGAGGGTTTCTTTTTACTTTTTTGGTTGTATCTTTTGAAATATAAAAGTTCTAAATTTTCTAAATCCGGGGCATTGGTGTTTTCTTTTATCCCATGTGTTTTTGGTATCGTATCTAAGAAATCAGTGCATAGCTAACTCAAGATCACAAAGATTTACTCCTATCTCTTCTTTTTAGAGTTTCATAGATATTTCTCTTATATTTATGTCCATCAGCCCTTTGGGGTTTATTTTTGTATGGGGTGGGAGGTTGAACAGACACGTAACCGGTCAGGAGGCACTTCCTGCTGTCTGCCACTCTCCTAAGGCCTGCTCTGTCTCCCAGCCCCAACTGGATTTTTCAGGTGTCCATTGGTAACGAGCATCTAGTCAGTTTAGCTGTCCCCTCCCGCACTAGAAGACAGATGTCTCAACTCCCTTTTCTATCAGATTGACACCATCTGTTTTATAATTTCTAGAAATTGCTCAGTAATTCAGAAGTATTTCTCAATACATCTGATAGCACCTTTTCCTCTTGTCCTATATTGCTATGGGTTTATCCTTGTTTTTACTTTTTTTTTCAGTAATTTCAGTGGGATTTTGAAGGGGTAAAGAGGGAGAAGCATGTTTCTAGTCTTTTTATCTAGGATACGGATTTTATTGGTAAATAATTTTAGGTGTTGCATTTTTGTGTGTGTGCTCTGCTTTGCCTTTTTGATATATATAGTTATTCATCTTCACAGGAACGATGTGCATATCCTACTTTTTTGGTGCAATAGTAACTGCTATGTAGACTTACAATCTACATAGAACAAATCAAAAGGTTAGTCAAAGCTAATGCTATGGGTGCATTATGCTCCTCACACAATATTACGTGTCAGTAGTATCTCAGTAAAGCTGGGGGACAAAGATGTACAGAGTCAGATCTTCTGCCTGCAGTGTAGATTGTGCGCTCTGGTCCTGCTGGAGTCCGCAGTGCACAGCCTAACCAGCTGTCCTGAAGTAGTCCTGAGAGGTCCACCTTTCATATGCCTTTCTGGTTGTAAGGTCCTATGGGCGTTAAGAATCTTACTAATTCCGGGGCCCCTGGGTGGCTCAGTGGGTTAAGCCTCTGCCTTCAGCTCAGGTCGTGATCTCAGGGTCCTGGGATCAAGCCCCGCATCGGGCTCTCTGCTCAGTGGGGAGCCTGCTTCCCCCTCTCTCTCTGCCTACTTGTGATCTCTGTCAAATAAATAAATAAAATCTTCAAAAAAAAAAAAAAGAATCTTACTAATTCCACTTGTGGGAATGTTTTTATATATAAAGATGGTAATTTTTCTAAAAAAGAAAAATTGAAGGCAAACTAAATATCAGAATGTAAGGGAATGGTTAAGTAGCTGTTAGGATTCATAGACATTCTGCCATGTAAGGTTTTATTTATGATAGATCAAATAATGTGGCAAAGTAATTGTGCTGTAAGTAAAAAAAAAAAATCAAAGTTGAGTATTAATATAAGCACAACTGTGTAAAACTATATAGAAAAAATAAATTTCTTGAACTAAAAATCCCAAATATGTGCAGTGATCTCTGTATGGTGCAATTGAAAATTATTTTCCCCTCTTCCTTATATTTTTTAAATTTACTATCATGAACATGCATTATTTTTATGAACAACAAATTTTTTTTTAAGGGCTATAGATTTTCACCCTGTTGTGGTATATTTCTGATTTTCCTGGGCTAGTCCTGTATGGATGTTTTTATCTTATTTTCCCAACTTGTTTTTAGTGGGCCAGTTTTAATGATTTTATCCTTAGAGGTAATAAAGAACTTAAATAGATAGTTGCAAATAAATCTCATGGAATTTACTCCACTCTGTTCTACCACGGGACAGTCCCCTTAAAATGCCTTTTTTTTTTTTTTAACGCTTTCTTTTCCAGCATGCCAGTGCAATGGCCACAGCAAGTGCGTTAATCAGAGTATCTGTGAGAAGTGTGAGAACCTGACCACAGGCAAGCACTGCGAGACCTGCATATCTGGCTTCTATGGTGATCCCACCAATGGGGGAAGGTGTCAGCGTAAGTAAATCCCTCAGGGTTACTGATTGCAGACCAGCTGGAACGCAGTGCCTCTGTTTGACTTGAATATCAGGAGGACAGAAGCCACTTGGTTTTGGATACTGCCTTTGTTGTCATGCTTGTCAGGAGCTCAGCTAAGCCTGTGAGAGAGTGAGCAGAGCTGCCAAGTATTAGAGTAGCCAGTTAACGCCAACAAGCTGAAAATGGAAGAGTTAAGCCTTTAATCGCTTACTGTGGTGGTAAAGCAAGAGGCTTAAGCTTAAACCCAAGAAAGCTCTGAGTCCCCACATTTCCTTTCCGTCCAGGACTGGATGTTGGTTGAGCGTCAGGTGGATCAGCACAGAGGTGGGGAGAGCCCAGGACAGAAGGCTCCAGCAAAAACCTGTCATGGGCCCTGGAGAGGGGAGGGAGAGGGAGGGTGCTGGGGACTGAGAGTGGGGACGATGTCTTCAGGGCTCCCTCACTCTTCCCCCCATCCTGAGGAGGCTCAGCAAGGCTCCCAAAGAGGGTCTGCCCAGGCCCAGATAAAGAGACTCAGGAGCAAAGATACTTACACTAGGAATGCAAATATGTGATGGAACATGGCTGACTTGGGGAGTGGGTTGCCCTGGGACTGTGACTGCAGCTTTCCCTCAGAGACCCCCCTCAGGAACAGGAGATCTGCTGGCTAAGCCTGGGTTTTAGCTTGTGGTCGGATCCAAAACACCACACATGGGGTTTTAACCAGGAGCTGGATTCCTTAGTACATCTAGAGAGAGAGAGAGAGAGAGAGAGAGAGTGTGTGTGTGTGTGTGTGTGTTTATATTATACAAATTTATATATATATAAATTTATTATTTTTTAGTTTATTCAACAGAGAGAGAGAAGGAGAGAGCTGCACAAGCAAGGGGAAGGGGCAGAGGGAGAGGGGGAGGGAGAAGTAGGCTCCCCACTGAGCAGAGAGCCCAACATGGGACTCGATCCTAGACCCTAGGATCATGACCTGAGCTGAAGGCAGATGCTTAGCTGACTGAGCCACCCAGGCGCCCCACTTCTCGTATATTTTGAAGATTTAAATAGTTCTCTGTTTCCGTATGCATGTCAAATAGATTCCTGTAAGCGAGGACTTTTTTGTGTTAGAACATAAATTAATACCTTTTTTTAAAATGATCAGTGAGGCTGGCGAGCTGCTTTTTGGCTCGTTCTTACTTCCAGTGGGAAGACCCTTCAGGTTATGAGTAGGAAAATAAATAAGGAAGTAAAATCTCTAACTTCTCCCCACATGCCACCTCCAGACTCCTTAGCATGGCCCTTGAGAATTGATCCCAGAGCAACCACGAGACAGCTGGCATCTTAGCAGTGTATCCCTTAACCTCTCTGGGATTCAGTTTCCTCATCCGTAAAATGGGGATAAAAGGATGGCGGTCAAGATGGAAGCAGTCAGAGCAGTGCATGACACATAGTGAGTGCTCAGGAAGTGTGGGTGTTTACTAGTACTCTTTTGCTGCCATTGGCCCCCACTCTTCAAGAACATTTCGGGCTCAGATTGAAAGGTCTTGAATAAAAATATTTTCCCCACACTTTGTGACTGGACTTCATCCATTTGACAGTGATCACAGGACCCCATCCCTGTGGGCACCCCACATGGGTGCCCGTTTCTGCAGCGGCTACAGAGAAGGCCAGGTGCAAGTCCTGCAGGGCCTCTGAAACACTGACCTGCCACTGTGATCTCACCCCGCTTCTGAGCCCTGCTGGGATTTGAAACTCGGCCTCTGTGGGGCAGGCACCTCATTGGAGGCTGAGTGCAGCCAGACCAAGCCTCCCCCTGAGGGGCAGTTATTGCTCAGAGCAACTCCTTGGGGACAGGGACTGAGTCAGTGCCCCCGTACCCAGCGCCTGGCACACGAGAGATGCTTCATAAATATTTACCGAACGAATGAGTCATAATAGTGAAAAACAGCCTATTGAGAAGATCAAAATAGATCCAAATGGTTGCTTCAGATGGCAGTAGAAGCCAGCGCTCTCTTTCCTCCTGTCCTTGGACTCTGGTTCTTCTCATGTTGCCTTTACATTGTTTGAGATAAATTGTTAGCTGGAAAACTTGAATCTTAGCCTTTAAATGCTTTCATTCTAATGTCTTTCCTATCGAATCCAATTCAGATAAAATTATGTGTTTCAGGAAAAGTCTCTGATAGTGGTGTTCTTTCACGCCAGTTGTGACTTCCATTCCTTTTCCTTCTCCCCAGCCTGCAAGTGCAACGGGCACGCATCGCTGTGTAACACCAACACGGGCAAGTGCTTCTGCACCACCAAGGGCGTCAAGGGGGACGAGTGCCAGCTGTGAGTACCACACTCCTGCCACAGGCCCCACGTGGGTTTAGTGACTGACAGCCAGGCCAGCTGGGTCTGTACCACAAGGGAGGCCAAGGAACTATGATGCTGCTGGACCACAAGAGCCACCCCTTCCCTGTGCCCTTTTGTTATGGGCTCTGGGTGGGGGGGATCCCCAGGTTGATGAGTTTGGAATTCTACCTTTTCTACTTCAGGCGGATCTAATTCGGTCAGCCTCCATACTGAGGAGGTTCAGCAGCAATTCCTTGATGGCTCCTTAGGTCACATTTTTATGTTTGAGTGGCACTGACTGCATTGCTGACTTGGATCAGTCTTACCTTCAACCACTGTTCAATTTTTGTCACATCAGGAGATTGTACCCTTTCCTGAGAAAGAGCTAGAAGACTTGGTATTCCAGGACAGTGTTTTATTTAGCATTTTGGTTGTCTGATGATGGAGCTGATCCCCTGGCCTTTAACACATCCCTCCTCTTCTAGCATTTTCCTTGGTGAAGTCTGCTAGACATCTTCCAGGGAAGAGTCTGGGGTTCCCATCCATGAGGAGGCCAATAGCGTCAGACAGACATGGAATTTTAGCCCTGGCTCTGCCTCCAAGAAGCAGGGCACTCTTGAGACAAATCACTTAACTGCTCTGAACCTCAGTTTCCCTGTCCATCAATAGCAGTACTAGCAATAATTGTTTTTAGTGTCCTGGTGAGTTGGAACAAGATTGTTCCCTGACGAATATATACCGGTTTGCCTCACTAGGAAACCTCATAAAACACAAGCACCAGCTTTACTCATTCTCTCAAGAAGAGACTTGAGAGAGAGGTCATAGTGGTATCACAACATTAAGCTGAGACAAGCAGATACATCATTGGTAAACTTTTTCTCAAAAAACACTAGTAGTAAGGTCACCAGTGACTTTGATAGTGATGTTCAAGGAAGGAATTATTCTGTCTGCATTTTACAATTGACACCACTGGGCACGTTTACTGGTTTCATGATGCCTTAAAGCCAATACATGAAGAAATGTCTAATCAAAGATTAAGTTTAGCTTTTGGACCTAGGTTCCTTTAAACAGAACCATATAATAGAGCATAATTAATCACTCCTGCCCTCAATTAGGCATGCAGTAACGAAATGAGATATAGGTCCAGTGAAAGACTTTCTTTTCAAGAGATTTTAGTTAGAAGCAAGTGCTAAGAATCACCCTGGATCCAAGGACACAATTTCATGTATTATTTATCCAGCAAAAGTGCTTGACCCAAGCTTTCCCCATCTTCCTAATAGCTCTTAGCTCCTGGGCCTGCCAGTATAAATGGCCTTGTGAAGTGGGAGACTGCGTTTTGCTGATGTTCACAGATAATATTTGTGGGGGAAAGTAATGATTCTTTTTTAGAACTTATTTTTTTCTCTGGTGACTGGTGAACCATGTTCAAGGACTTTTTAAAAAAAAGTGAAAGTGATTCTTGATATTTAGCCTTTTCTTATTTTTAAAAGAATGGCTCAGTTTTATCCAGGGAGAACAGGAAGGAAGTGAGAAAAGGATATTTGAAAAATGTTTTAACTTCACTTTTAGAGGAATATTTAGTACACACAAAAGTTGAAATGTGTTTTTCATGAAAATAAGTAGGATCTAGATTTATTACATTTGGATTTGTCTCCTGTGCTTTGGCAAATGTTTATCAGTTGGAAGGGCGTGAAGTGCCGGGTGGTCGGTACTCAGCATGAACACAGACTCCTCAGCCTGCCTGATCTGAGTGACCGTGAAGAATGTAATTATCATGACTCACACTTTTTGTAATGTAGTTTTATAGGAAAGGATCCGCGTGGTTTTAAGATGAATGTAGATTTGGTTTTAAGATGAATGTAGATTTTGTTTTAACCATCAATAGAAAATAATCTTTATTTTTATCCCCCTAGATGTGAGGTAGAAAATCGATACCAGGGAAACCCTCTCAAAGGAACGTGTTATTGTAAGTGTTTTCACAATTCATATTTGTCTAGAAGCAAAGTAGTTCAATAAAACTTAGTTATTTACTTTAACGTGGTTTAAGAATGGTAAGTGCTACGAAAATATAGCCCTTTGTGGAAGTGTGTCCTAATTTGATGTGTTTCCATTCTGTTCCACTTATGCATATAGGAACACCATTTGAAGCTGTGTTAATTATGGTTGTGGTTTAGTTAATATGTCCATAGCAGATATCAGGGGAGATTACAGAAATACATACCTCTGGCTTTCCTCATTTATGTTCTCTTGAAACCTAATTTCATTTGCCATTACCTGGTTGGGGTCAACATATTGCACATTCAGGATATAGGTCAGAAACCATTTTTTTTTTAAGGTTTTATTTATTTAGAGAGAGAGCACAAGCAGGGGGAGGGGCAGAGGGAGAGAAAGAATCTCCAGCAGACTCCGTGCTGCGTGTGGAGCCGGACGTGGGACTTGATCCCACCACCTGAGATCACAACCTGAGCTGAAATCAAGAGTTGGTACTCAACCGACTGAGCCACCAGGTGCCCTCAGAAACAATTCTTTTTTTTTTTTTTTTTCAAGATTTATTTATTTATTTTAGAGAGCGTGAGAGAGAGATAGCCAGGGGGAGCAGAGGGAGAGGGAGAAGCTGCTGAGCCCAAGGGAGGGCTCAGTCTCATGACGCTGAGATCACGAGTTGAAACCAAGAGTCAGACACTTAACCAGCTGAGCCACCCAGCCATCAGGTGCCCCACTATATCAGTTAATTTCTTGTAATCTGGTATGCTGTAACTTATCTATCTTGAAAAAATAAAGCCGATACCAAATAGCAGGTTTTAGCAGTGATATGGGAAACTAGAACCTTTATGTACGACTTTCATCCGTCTTTGTGGAAATATAAAACGATGTAGGCATTTTGGCAGAACCATTTGGCAGTTTCTTAAATAGTTAAAAATAAACTTATCAACAGCTCTTCATTTCCCTCTTCCCCTAGCCCCTGGCAGTCACCATTCTGTTTTCTGTTTCTATAATGTTGACTACTCTAGGTACCGCATGTAAGTACTGTCATTTAGTACAGGTCTTTTGTGACTGGCTTATTTCATTTGTCATCGTGTCTTCAAGGTTGTTCCAGGTTGTAGTGTATGTCAGAGTTTCCTTCCTTTTGAATATTCCACTTTATGTATACTACTGATGGACCGTAGGGTTGCTTCCGTCTTTTAGCTATTGTGGCTAATAGCTATGAGGTTTGGCTGCTATGACCACGGTGTACAAGTATCTCTTTCAGTTCTTTGGGTATGTACTGCAAAGTAGAATTGCTGGATCATTTGATAATTCTCTATTTAATTTTTTGAGAAACTACCGTACTGTTTTCCACATTAGTCGCACCATTTCACGTTCCTACTAGCAGTGCACAAGGTTTCCAGTTTCTCCACTTGCCCACCAACACTTAATTATCTTCTGTTTATTTGATAGTAGCCATCCCACCATGCATGAGGTGGTATCTCATTGTGGTTTTTTAACTGATTTGTATTTTCCTAATGATTATTGATGTTGAGCATCTTTTCGTGTGCTTACTGGCCATTTGTGTATCTTCTTGGGAGAAATAGCTATTCAACTCCTCTGTCCCATTTTTAAGTCACGTTGTCAAGTTTTACAATGGACTTTTTAGAATTAAATTATACCATCTTTAGGCAGCTCTTTCTGCTTAAAGGTCCTGTTCCTGTGCTTGAATAAAACCACCTTTTTTATACTGAAAAAAAATTATACCATCTTTGTCCAATAGGCTCTCTTTAAAGCTATTTTCTTTTGCTACATCACTTTAGTCTTTGAATGCTTTGTTGCTTTTGAAAACAAGATAATCAAGGCTCATATTCCTTGCTACAGACCTGGGATCAACCATTTTTCCATGGGGTCTTGGTTTCTTCTTTACCATTAATTTATAACTTTGTATCCTTAAGCAAAACCTAATGTGTTATAGAGGTACGGTTAATATTTGTAGGTGAGTTAGATTGGAGCTCAAAGTCTTAACCGGCATCTTGATGTAAGAAGAGTTTGATAGGTTAGTCCAAATAAAATGATGCTGCCCACTTGACTGCCTTTGAAAAGCTTTCCACTTCCCAGGTGTAAGTGAGCTAAAAGTGTTTCCTGGCTATTGAATATTTGTAAGGAAATCAATCTGTATGTCTAGAGACCTATTCTGTTTTGTTTTAATTTTTAAATACACATTTCTTTCTTTCCATAGATACTCTTCTCATTGACTATCAGTTCACCTTTAGCCTATCCCAGGAAGATGACCGCTATTACACAGCCATCAATTTTGTGGCTACCCCTGATGAAGTAAGATTTTAAAAGTTTTCTTGCTTTGTTTTGAATTCATGTGCATCTTTTTCTTGATATTTATGGGTAGAAACATTAGCAGTGATCTCCAGAGTGGAGTACACAGAACTGTTTAGAGGTTCAGGAAAGAAGTGTTAGAAGCTACCCTTTATCCCCTCTCCACCTCAAAGGTAAGAATGGTGTTGTTCAGGTTTACCAGGATCTGACACCCAGACCGACTGACTCTACACATAGACTTGGTTTGCCCATCAGCTCGTCACAGCCCCCACAGAAAAGGAGAGAAGACTGCAGGGGGATGTCCCTAATCAGAGGGGCACATGGCAGGGCCCAGATTTACTCTCTCAGAATGGACCAGAGGCTTAACAAGTACCTGCAAAGAAACTGCAGATTGAAGTTAATGCCACTGATGCCTGGGAGCCCACAGAGGAGATTCTTCTGTGCCTATAGGAAGTTGTTGGCCTTACTGGGAGGTAAAAAAATTGAAGGTATAGCCAGGTCCAACAAGAAGTTAACCAGAAACAATTGGAATTAGTAGGACAACTGTTTGAAATGTGGGTTTATATCTACTTTCATTAATGATGACCACCAGCCTGACATAAGGTACTGCCTGGTGGTAGAAGGGACCCAACATAGCATGACAAATAAAAGTGAAGTGTCTAGAACATGAAGACACACCTATACGATATCTTTGATAAAATATAAAGTCATTCAATGGCCACTCCAGTACATAATGAAATTTTACTAAACTTGATGATAAATTATTTAGGAACTTCCTTGAAGGTTTATTTCTCATCAACATAACACAAAGCCACTTAACATTACAAAATTCCTGTCATCATAAACATGATGAAAAATACATGGAAAATAATATGACAGTAAGCCAGGTTGTGTTCCTTTGTTAACAAATGTTATTGTTAACAAACATTGCCAAATCTAAAAAATAAATAAATTAGTAGAACAAAATCCAGAGTGTGGGATGTTTACAATCACATGGAAGTAAGATTTGTTTTTTATATTCCATTTTAATGATAAAATTAAGAAGAAATGTACTAGAGAGTGAATTTCTTTTTAAATAAAAATAATAGATGACCTTAGATGAAAATATTATATGGACACACTATATATCATATCATTTGAATGGCTATGTTGACTGGAATTAATAAAAAAGAGTTTAGAATAAAATTATAGCAAAAGTACCACACATGAAATTTATTTAGTATCTTATTCATAAGCAGTTGGGAGAAGTACTCAGTCTTGCAGGATGTAATTGATGTTGTTAACTCTTTTTTGAATAAACATAATAGACTCTTGGTAATACTTCTTAATGAGGTGAGTGACCATGAAAATCTTTTGACCTCTCTGGAGTTCCTTGCTTATCTTATGACAGAATATTTAATGGAGTTATCTAAAGTGTATGTTCTGTCTTTTATAAAAGGACTAGGATTTCAAGTTTGTTGATCCTTTCTTTGGAAAGGATCTACTATTAATTGTTAATAGTATTCTTCCACAAAATATTAAAAATAAACACTTGAGCTGTCCCTGTAAGAGGAAGGTGAGGTTATATCAATAAGCAAGAAGGCAACTAACTGCTTTGGGAGAGAAACTCCTGGTTTGGAGATCACATTTTGAAAATGGCTATTTGGAAATGTATCCATTGTTAAGGTTTTGTGCTGTAATTACCATCAAAACGACACCCTTAAAAATCTTACTGTCCTGACTTGTTTTCCTGCCTTTGAAGAAAAAGAATTCCAGCAGGATTGGATCCATTTGTAAAATATAAAAATACAACATCTGATTCACTTGCAAAAATAATTCTTTGAAGACAAGAAAGATTTATTAGTCAAGTTTCAGTGAAAACTGAAAATTCATATTACAGTTTACCTAGTGTAGCCAATAGTGCACTTCGACCTGTTGGCTCAATGCATTTCTCAGAGATGTCTTTCTCAGTCATTAAAACCAAGAATCAAAATAAATTAGACGAGCTCTTCAAATTATGGTATCTTTAATTTTCCCAGAGGATTCTTAGGAAGCTGATTCCCCTAACATATGTCATAGAATTTAAGTCATTGTTCTCTGGTCAGGGGCTTTCTAAAACCTACTTTCTTATGGAGTTAGGCATTTGATAAAGCATTAAATCACATGCATGTTTATGAGAGAGAAATGAAATTTACTTGGGATATATTGCTTATATTGGGTGGAAATGTTACTGACTGTTATAAGCATGAGTTCCTTTTAAGACACTGTAAAATATCTGTTTTGTAGTTAAAATCGAGAGTAGTAAAATTTAATTACTTCTTTATTTTAAAATCTGGAAACTGTTGTACTTACTTTTCTAACTATTTGCACTGCTTATCAGCAAAACAGGGATTTGGACATGTTCATCAATGCCTCCAAAAACTTTAACCTCAACATCACCTGGGCTGCCAGCTTCTCAGGTAAAGACATACCTAGAGAAGACCTTCCAAGTGGAGTAGATTGGTAGTAGATTGAGAAATGCGTGTAGTTGTTGAGAAATGGGGCTCTGGAGCCAGACAGATGGATTTGAAACCCACCTTTGCCTCTTGTGACCTGGGAGGTTCAAACAGGTGTCTGAAACCCTCTCTGGACCTTAGGGTTATTTGTCACAAAGAACAGACAGCAGTACTTATCTCCTAAAATTGTGTCAATGACATCAGGTTATGCATGCCCTTGCCTCTTTTTCTTCAAAGGCAGGGTTATTTGTCACAAAGAGCAGACAGCAGTACTTATCTCCTAAAATTGTGTCAATGACATCAGGTTATGCATGCCCTTGCCTCCTGTGGGGACAGGCTGAGTGTGCACTCAGCCCCTGCCCTGTGCCCAGCTATCCCAGCCCTGCCGCAGCCACTGCTCTGGCCTTCCCCTCGTCATCCCCGGCCAGGCCTCAGAAGTGAGAAATGGAACTATTTAAAACAAAATGAGATCTTGGTAGGTACAAGGAAGTATACTTTGGGAATTAAATCAAGCTCTAAGAGCATACTGTTTGCTCTCTTGTCCACCTTGCTACGATTCGCTAAAGATGATCTGGGCAGATCTACTGAGGTAGGGACAGACAGGCCTTATGAAGTGCTTCTGAACGTAGCTCGACAGATGTGGGTTTGAACTCTGTCTGTTACCGACTCTGGTGCACTGTGCAATTGGGGAGGTTAGGCTTTCTGAGCTGGTTTGCTCGTGGATGATAAATGGGATGATAAAAACACCAAGCTGTGCACAGCCTGGTAAAGCTGAAATGAGACAATAAAGGAAGTAGTCCGTGTAGTGCTTGAAACACAGCAGGTTCTCACCGGATGGTAACCACACTTCCTTCTCCTTGCTCTTTCAGTGCTGGTGTTCGGTCAGAACACAGCCAGTTAGACTGAAGCAAAATTAAACATTACCTTTGCATGTCTTATGTTTACCATGTCTTAAAAGATTGTATGGAATTCAGAAAAGGTTCAGAAACTTGCAGTGAGGAGACACTTTTAAGAAAAATTATCAGAGAACATTGGGAGAAGGACAGCATCTCTGAGCACGTGAATGCTTTTCAATGATTGTCTCAATGAGGTGACGATCATTCTGGGCTCTAGTCACAGTGTTTAATGCAGACATGCTAAAAATCTATTTTACAAATCTTTGTAGACACCAGGATTCCAGAGGGAGAGTATGGAACGATGAAGGACTGTTTGGGAATAGGATGAGTTTATACCAGATTGGGGGGACTTTCAATACAGTAGAGACTGGGTGGCCCTCTAGAGCTCCTTGTTCCCTGCTGCTGTTGAGACATGAGGTCATTGCTTGTTAGGAAGTGAGAGGTGAATCAGTGTTCCTGATGCGGGGGATGGGGAGCACTGACAAGCAGGTCTAAAAGGGAAATGCAAAGTAGTTGAAGTTCTACAGGCAGAATGAAAGTCATTGTTGATAGGATTCTAGTATCTGTATGTTCACAGCTAGGTGTCTGGTTGTTTAAGTGGAGAGGAGCCGCAGAGACTCCTGGAGGAACTATTCTGGTTAAGGGCACAGCCTTGCGTATCAGCCTTCCCGCTGCAAATCTCAACTCTGCTTCTTGCTCGGCTATGTGACCTGAACCAAGTTACTTAATTTCTCTGAACCTCAGTTTCCTGATCTGTAAATGAGAATAATGAAAATTGTTAGAATTAGATGAGATTGTGCTCTTAGAGACTATTCCTGGAACGTAGTAAGTGTTGAGTAAATGCTGACTGTTGTCGTTATTAATGAGGGCAGATTCTGTCCAAAAAAATAGACTCTTGTATTTCTTTCTTTTCTTCCTGACAGCTGGAACCCAGGCTGGAGAAGAGATGCCTGTTGTTTCAAAAACCAACATTAAGGAGTACAAAGATAGCTTCTCTAATGAGAAGTTTGATTTTCGCAACCACCCAAATATCACTTTCTTCGTTTATGTCAGTAATTTCACCTGGCCCATCAAAATTCAGGTAAGAAGTGTTTTTTGGTCTCAACCTGCAGACAGTGAAAACTTTTCAGTGGAGACTAAATCCTCTAATTTGAAACTTGAGGTAAATGGGGTGTACGATACTGTTTTGCCTTTGTAGCCTGTGGCAAAGGAGTACTGAGCACATGACCACCGTAGGGAAAGCGGTGGTGGGGATGGCTTAAATCACTTAAGAAAGAGAACGATAAGCCCTTCTGAAAGCCAGTTGGCATGTTTGGTAATTACAGCTGTATTCATTTCTTCACTGAGCACTTCCCATGTAAAAGCCTGCAGAGCTTCGGTTCTGGAATGAGTCAAATAGGGATAAATGAAACACACTGAAAACCAGTGAGAGCCAGAGTGTGGAAGTGTCCTATGGAAGGATGCCACAACTGCTCTCAGTTTAAAGAAGATAGATTGGGGTGGAGTGGGCGGCAGTATCGGGTTACGTGGGAGAACACGGGCCCGTGTGAGTCCTGGCCTCTCCTCCACAGATCATGTAGCTCTCCACATGACGGGTTTTGTGTGCATGACCTGAAGGCGTGTTACCTGCTGCTGCCACTGATGTTATCAACCTCGAGCCTTTTCTCAGTTCTCAGGGTTTCGGTGGACTTTCTTATCCAAGACCCATGGCCCCATTTCTACTCTTTGTCATTTGCCGCTGTGTCCTCCAGGCCTTGCCTCAGTACTTTTCGCTTTTACCCCCTCTCTTTGGGGTGAAAATGGAATCCAGGGCGGGGTGAATTTCAGGGACGGGGCCAGTGTTAGCCACGGAAGCATGGTCATGGGCCTGGTCTGTGGCCGTCTGCCGATTCTCAGAAACAAGGCGTCACTGATCAGTTAGGATGAGTTTGAAACCAAGTCCTGGTGATTTTGTGTTCATGCCTTGGGACTGTGACTAAAGAAGAATCTTTCTGTTCCTGGAATGTGGGGATAGGCTCTGTATTGTGATTTTTTTCTCACCAACTGCTTCCCTTTCTCTGTCTAGCTGGTCACCCATGTGTTCATCCTCTAGTCTGCTTTCCCTTTGATCTTACACACTCTCTGCTTCCCTCCTCAGCTGGCGTTCTCTGGTGTTGGCTCCCTGTTTGTGCTTCCTCTTACCCACTCATCCCTCAGCCTGCAGCCGTGCCTCCTTTCCTCACCACATCCTGAAAACTGTCCTGTCTAAGAAGAAGCCAGTCACCCAACCAATTCTCCAGTCCCCTCTCCTTCTCACTGAGTCATTGGAGTCACCGTCTTTCTTGCCTTCCTGGTCCTTCTTTCCCTGACTCTCTGGCCAGGCTCTTGAGGGAATCTCCTTCCTTAAACATTGAGATTATCTGGGAATCAGACATTGGTTCTCCTTTGTCTTCATCCCACACAGTTTCCCTGGGTAATTCCATCCCACGTATAGGATTTCAATTCTGTCTCCAGCCCAGCTTCTGCTTGTGCTCCACACCAGTGTTCTCAGTTGCTGCCTAGACATCTCCAAGCAGACAATCACGAGCTCCTGCCATTGGCACGTAATCGTTCTTGTGACCTTAGCCCCACACCCCATGCTTCCTTTCTCAGTGAATGATACCACTGTTCCAGTTTTCTTTTGCTGTCCTTGTTCTGTTTTTATATCAAGGTTATACTAACCTTTAATAATTAATAATTATAAATTGAGGAGTTTTCTTCTCATTTCTGGAAGAGATTATATAAGATTAGAATCTCCCTTATAGGGACGCCTTGGTGGCTCAGTGGGTTAAAGCCTCTGCCTTCGGCTCAGGTCATGATCCCAGGGTCCTGGGATCGAGCCCCACATCGGGCTTTCTGCTCAATGGGGAGCCTGCTTCCTCCTCTCTCTCTCTGCCTGCCTCTCTGCCTACTTGTGATCTCTGTCTGTCAAATAAGTAAATAAATAAATCTTTTTTTAAAAAAAGTATTTAAAAAAAAAAGAATCTCCCTTGTAAAATCGTTACTATTTTTTTGTTTGTAGAAATTTTTTTTTTTAGCTCTTGATTCATCTTCTTTAAAAGTTGTAGGATATTTTGGATTTTCTGTTTCAGTCATTTAAAATAATTTTTTCTAGGCATTAATTTATTTCATTTTTTCAGATGTATCAACACAAAGGTATTCACACTATCCTCTAATCTTTGCAGCATCTGTGCTTGAGAATACTGAATCATACACTTAAAAATGCTTAAAACAGTAAATTTTATCTTAAATATTTTTAACCCAATTATAAAAGATTTTATTTTTTTAAGATTTTATTTATCCATTTGTCAGAAAGAGCGTGTATGCAAGCAGGGGGAGAACAGGCAGAGGGAGAAGCAGGCTCCCCACTGAGCAAGGAGCCCAAGGCGGGACTCAATCCCAGGACCCTGGGATCATGACCTCAGCCGAAGGCAGGCACTTAACTGACTGAGCCATCCAGGCGACCCCAATTATAAAAAATTTTAAATATGACAGCAAGATTTTTCTTTGTAGCTATAAACAGCTTATTCTAAAATTTATACAAAAAGGCAGAGATTCTAGAATAGCTGTAACAGGTGTGAAAAAGTGGAATATTGTGGGAAGAATCACTGTCCACAATGTTGAGGCTTACTGTTCAGCTATAGCAATCAAGACTTTGTGGTTATTGGTGGAGGGATAGACACAGATCAAGGAATAGAATACAGAACCCTGAAACAGAACCACATAAATGTGTCCAACTGACTTTTGATGAAGGAACAAAGACAATTAATTCAATGGAAGAAAGATAGCCTTTCAAATAAGTAGTGCTCGAACAAGTAGACAACCATCGACAAATAAATGAACTTCATTCAACCTAATCCTCAATCTTACACTAAATCAACTCAGTAAGGATCACAGCTCTTTTCTTTTAAAGTGAAATAATTATTTATTTAGCTTCTTGTCAAGCCAAAATATTTTGTGTGTATACCACTATAATTAGCATGCCCTCTGTAACAGGCAAAATTGTACATCAAGTTATATTTCATGTTACCTGATTATATAAAAATATAAAGTAAAAATGATTTATCAGTTCCATTTAACATTACTAGTAAACAATTCAGCAGGAGATATGATGTACAAAATTTTAGTAAAATATGACGCAGGAAGAGCTTAATGTAATTCTCGCTTGTCATAATTTGTTATGAATATAGAAAGACAACTTTTTAAAATGTTGTGTTTACTAATATTCTAGCAGTAGCTTTTTGTAACAAGGCATAGCATACTAGGACTGCCACTCAACTTGTTTATGGTAGGTCACAGCTTCAATATGCTGTTTAAAAAAAACAAACAAACCTGTTTTTTTAAAAGGTTTTATCTACTTATTTCGGAGAGAGAGAGAACACACAAGCAGGGGGAGGGGCAGAGGGAGAAGCAGACTCCCCACTGAGCAGGGAGCCCAATGTGGGACTTAATCCCAGGACCCTGGGATCATGATCTGAGCTCAAGGCAGATGCTTAATGACTGAGCCACCCAGGTGCCCCAAAAGCCTGGTGGGGTTTTTTTGTTTTTATTTTTGTTTTTTTACATGTTAAGTATCTTGGCAAGTATGCCATTAAATACAGCAACAAGTTTAAGATAGCAAGAGTAAGGAGTTAAAAAGGCTAAACGTTACAACCTAAATCAAATTCATATCACTGGTTACATAGAATATTCCTGACTAGTTAAAACCTAACAATATAAAACATGCATTTTAGAATCTTTAGCAATCAAGTTCAAAAAATATCTATTTGAAATGTAAGGAAGTGTAGTCAAACTAATTCAAATGTTTTAACAGTTTTATTTTATTTTATTTTATTTTATTTATCTGTTCAGTGTTCCAAGATTCATTGTTTATGCACCACACCCAGTGCTCCATGCAAAGGTGCCCTCCATAATACCCACCACCAAGCTCACCCAACTCCCCATCCCCGTCCCCTCCAAAACCTTCAGTTTGTTTCTCAGAGTCCACAGTCTCTCATGGTTCGTCTCCCCCTCCGATTTCCCCCAATTCACTTTTCCTTTCCTTCTCCTAATGTCCTCCATGTTATTCCTTAAATGCTCCACAAGTAAGTGAATCCATATGATAATGACTCTCTCTGCTTGACTTATTTCACTTTCTAATGCTTAAAAACGTTCAGCATTACTGAAATAGAGGTAAATTCCAGAGCATTTGGGGCTCTGTCATGCTGCAAAGGGCTCTTTCTCTGGTTCACTTAAATCAGGCAACAACAGGGATGCCTGTGTGGCTTAGTTGGTTAAGTGTCTGCCTTTGGCTTGGGTCATGATCCCACTGTCCTGGGATCGAGTTCCACATCAGGCTCCTTGCTCAGAAGGGAGCCTGCTTCTCCCTCTGCCTGCTGTTCCCTTTGCTTGTGCTCTCCCTCTCTGAAAAATAAATAAATCTTTAAAAAAAACAAAATAAAACAAAACAATAAAACAGCCAGCGACGGAATCCAAGGATGTCTGATGGCAAAGGTGCTGTACCCAGCTCTGCCCTCCCCATGAAGCATGGCTGTTGTGTCGACAGAAATAGGACATGTGAGGATAAAAGACATGCTGTTCTGCTAACTGGTTAGCACCCTCCCCCACAAAGCTCCTTTCCCAGGTAAATAAAAGTCTAGAATGGGGGGAATTAAAATACACTTATCTATAGAGTAAGGATTTTGAAATATCAACGTGATCCCTATTTCAAAAATGTTATCTAGAGTCCCCTGATCATTTTTTTTTTTTTTTTAAGATTTTATTTATTTATTTGACAAAGACACAGTCAGAGAGGGAATACAAGCAGGGGGAGTGGGAGAGTGAACAGGCTTCACGCTGAGCAGGCAGCCCGATGCGGGGCTCAATTCTGGGACCCTGGGATCATGACCTGAGCTGAAGGCAGATGCTTAATGACTGAGGCACCCAGGCGTCCCTACCTGATCATTTCTGATTACACCTTAATGATACATCCAGATTCAACTTCTGTTGACTTATCATGAGATACTTCTAGTCAGAAATATGAACTTTATCCCCAAGTATCTTAATCACTAGCACAACTGCAGT